AGTTGCGCACACATCTGCCTCAGTAAGAAACATTTTACGAGAAATAAAGTGAACTATTACTGTCCTTGAAGAAAGCATTAGTTGTGGTGCTTTAAGAACAATGACAAGGTCATGTAAGACATTATTAATTTGTCGACTTTCATGTATCGTTACGAAAGTGCAAATACAAATGAATGTCATTCCACGCAAACTTGCCGAAACTGGACTTATTCATCAAATGATGCAACTTGTTTTACGTAAATATTTATTGAATAATGTTGGAATTTGCGCTAGAAAATATCGCAAATAAAACAATTTATTCTACGAACACATGAGCTTCGCATATATCCGGAAGAATTAAAAATACAACATAACCGAAACAAAGAAAGTAAATCATGAGTGATTTCGTAATTTAAGTTGTATACTGCATAGTAAAAAAATGAATGTGATTCATGTATGACGAATGTATAATTGTGGCGCCAATGTCCTGTTATGTATACGCTATGTAAGTGCAAATACGAAATTTAGGTTTATTTACGTCTAAGGCTATTCGTCAGAACAAACGGCGAACGGCAGCGCCTTTGCTAGAAAAACCCCAAAAGTTAAATGATAATAAAAAAATGACAGGATAGTTTTCGTTTCAATTAAATTCAAAGAGTTCGGCCCTCTTTTCATAATCTCCTGGACCGCCCTGTCCAGGTTCGATACTAAGCATTCTTGAAACTAATTTTATTTGCCATACTTAGAAACATTTTTCTGAGAAACTTTGCACTATCCATTAATCTCTACTTTTTGGTTACAACAAAATTTGCGGACTTTTTTTCAATATTGCGTTCAAAGCTTCCAAATGCAAAAACAGAAATTTGCTTTCTTGTTCAATTGAAAATTACAAACTTAAAGGTTCTTTATTAGAAAATTTTATTCATTAGTGTTTTTCTATCAAAGCAGCATTAGCTTGTTCATTCTGTTAATGTGCGGTAGGTGAGAGCACGGAAAATAGCAATTTGAACTATCCCCCCATATCAACTACCTAGGTAACTATGCTGGCATAAATATTTGCCACGGTAGAATGTGAGTGTGGTTGCAATTAATCAGTTTTATAACATTCATTGCAAGGCTCCAAATATGATGGAAGTTAGTCATTTGTAAAAACCTATTTTTGTATGTACCACACATTGATTCAAGTTGAATTTGAATTTTTTTAGATTCAAAGATGATTTTAAAATCACAACCGAAAAAAGAATCAAAAAGTCCCTCTATCTTGACATGGATTGTTTCATACACAGGTCATCAAAGACCTGTGGTACTTATCAAAACAGTCCCCGATATAAAATTAGAAACGACAAAAATTTCCAAAGAAATGCAAGGAAAGAATGATGTATTTTTGAACATCACAACAAAATTAACAACAAAAGCAAAAACGCTTGTATTTCTAAAATTGTTTTTGGCTCCATACAAAACAATTTTGAATCACGTGACGATACTTCCTTCAGGTAAGTTAGCCTTATCAGGAATTCAAGTTGAATGATTTTGCTGCGAAAATTATGATCTAAAATTATGATCTTTCCTTATCTTTTGATAAGTGCTTTAGGCAATTTAGTAAACAGTATAGTTGTTACAATCTATTGATAAAACTTAGAGACGCATTTTGATGCAAATAGTATTAGTAATATTTTTGAAATGCAGGAATTCTTACCTGAATAATTAGAACTTGAGGATACTTTTATATTAGTATTACTTTATTATCTAAATATCTGCACAAATGCAAAATAAACTTACACGTAAACATAGACCTATAGCAGGGGTCTCCAAACTTTACAGCCAGAGGGCCACATGAACTTTCATCCAGCATGTTGAGGGCCGACGAACAGTTTACCGCTGGTCAAAGAGCGAATACTTAAATAAAACGAAGTACATAACGAAGAATACGAAGTAAATCATGAAGAAGTATTTTACACTCCAATCTTCTTGAAATCGCCGACATTCATCATCTATTTTTCTTTTTCTTTTATCGGCCATTATGAAGCATTGAAATATAAAGAGTTTCCACGTCATCTTTCAGCTTTTTAAATTTCGCAATGTGCTTGAAACGGAAGTAGAAAGTTGGGACAAAAATTGATGTAAGCCACTCTTGCTAGTTGGCTTGCGTCATAACGTGAACTTTCTGAACAAAGTTTATTTTTGTTTAATAATACTATTTTTTCTTAAGTGTCTCTGCGGGCCGGATTAAGAGGCGCAACGGGCCGTAGTTTGGAGACCCCTGGCCTATAGGAACAGATTTAAATTTTGGAGGGGTGAAAATGAATTAAGTGGCTGACTTGATAAGATGGTCTCTTTCGTCTTCAAGTATAACTCTGTACAAACGCAGCACTTGTAGAAAGTTAAGAAGTGATCTTTATTGTTTAGTTGTATTTCATTACAACTCATTCTATAATTAATGCAACAAGCAAGTGTCGCAACTTATATAAGAAAATAATAGGTAATTGTAATTCGAGATTGTAAACTTATGAAAGAACGGAAATAGGAACTTATAAAAAAATATTATTAGTTGTCACATGTTGAAAGTCAGGCTTCTTTTGTCACTGGCTTTGAATGTATAAGCTTGAAATGTTTATCTGTGATGTAGAATAATTATATCGGAAGAGTTATAAGCAAAATTGAAAATTGTGTGTCGACTGTGCATACAAATCGGATAGCATACAGTCCCAAAAACGAATCGGCAGATGCATAACTGCTTTGTGTTAACGCAACATGATTCTAAAGGCGTATAAAACAGGATGGTGGGGTGGTGGGGTGGTGGTGCAACTGAGAGGCCTATAGCCCCCTAAAATTTAGGTAAACATTGACATAATAAAACGCATCTTAATTTCTTGTAACATTTTATTGCAGTTTCTGTCGCAATTCATAAATATTGTATATACTTTCTATCTTATTTGGTTTAATTCTGTCGCAAATAATGTCAGAATAATCACCTAAAGCCTTACGTGATTAAACGGCGAATAATCGCATCCGTTTGGACTAATGATCCGTCTAACAGATCATACGTCTAAGTATAAACACGAGACGAACTTTCTATTAATAAACCACACAAAGTCCAATTCTGCCTTTGGAAGATTTTGGAGCGAGTTATGAACTACGAAGTATTATGTTTTCCGTAGTTTGTCCTCATTCCACATTTATATTCACAGAAGGATGATGCGTCAAGTCAAAATACCCGTGCAAACTCGTCTAAATAAACAAACTATTCAAATAATTCGTACGCATCTTGACGGATGAACTGTAAGTTTGCCCGTATACACAGAGACGAACTTGAAGACGAACTATGTTTTTCTTGCTCAAGTTTGTCCAAATAGATAATCAGTTTTTAGCATAAATCTGGCCAAGCAGTAACTTCTTTACACCACTTTGAGAAAGCCACTGGCCTAATCCGATGATAGATTCTTCAAGAATAAAAACGTACATTATACCTAGGCACAAAACTCAGACAGATTATTTTAATCTTACTAATATTGTTCTAGAATACGTAGCTTGCAATGAGTATCACAAAACGTTCTGGTTATAAAAAGGGTCGAAATACTCTTCAACAATTTAGCCAGCCCCAACTCCCCCCAATTTAAATCTGTTACTAAGAATGTGATTTGATGCAGCTTGCAAATTTTCACTCTCTGAAGAGTTAAAAATGGGCTGATGTCAGCAGTACTCTTAAATTGGTGTAAAGAGGTTCATGAGCTTTGCCGTAAAACATTGACTAAGACGAAAATGTTCATGTTGTTGAAAAACGTGCTAATTCAAGCATTATCGACGTGTTCATAATGTTTAAATTGTGCATGATTTGTTCTTGTTAGCGGTTCTCTGACAGCATTGATACATAGTTATTCTTTTGGGCAATTTCTACTTTATTCTGGGAGTTCCTAAATTTTGTCTGATTGGTAAATTGCATAACAATTTGCTTGCAGTATAGGATCTAAAACAAGTTCTTTAACTTTTCATAACAGCTATACATTTTCTTGGTCAAATCAGAGCTCTAGTTCATTCTCATCAAGGTCTATCAATTCAAATCATTGTTTTTGGGTACAACACTTTTTCCAAAGGCATCAAGCACTACAATTCTGAAAGAACCCTTGTCTCACACAACGGTTAATTAGAAGGTATGATTTTGGAGAGCCATTTTAGCCACAAGTCAACCCCAATGGGCAAGGCCTTGGGTGATTTTTTCATTATTCTTGGCGACAAAGTTTTAACGAAAAAGATAGGTTGTATACCGACAATTAGACATCTTTTTGAATTTCAACTGCAACTGCATTGACATGATGAGCCATAAATGCGCTCCGCTGTATGTTTGTCCATGATTCAAGTTATGGAAAGAATATAGGGAATGAGGTGCATTATATTTTATCAATGTTAACCTACACTTTTTCGGGGGGCTAAGCCCCTATATAAATTTTAGGGAGCTAAAGCTCCCTTAGCCCCTCCGCTTCCTACGCCTATACACACATATACACATCTATACACAGATAATGGTTATCAACTAAGAAACAGTTTATTTCGTGCATATTATTTATCATATGGGGTTATAATTATGGGTCCATGCAAATGACTGTTTTACATTTCATTCTCATTGTATGAAGACAAACTTTTACCTCAGGAAAACTCGATTAAAAAGTTTGTTATTTTAGCTAAATATTATTGTACCTATTCTGTTCTTGCTCATTCAAGAGCTGTGTCAATACGATGTCTTATTGTAATGGCACACTAAACAATCGGTAGTTATATTTGTTTAGATGGGTAAATGGTACAATAAGAAATTGGTAGTTATATTTTTTTAGATAGGTAGCTTGTAGACCATGGTAGAGGTAAGATAAATATAAAACCATAAGAATTCATTCCTGCTGATGAACTTATGTACACGCAGTTACTTTATTTCTATTCTAAGCTAATATGGTAACTATTTTAATTTATGGATATAATATGTATTTGTTGTGAATTATTGTGTTGTATATTTAACTTCTAACATCAATATCTTGATGGAATTTTAGCTTCCTCTAAAAGCAGGTGCACGTTATCACCATCACCAACGATGTCATCATTTACAAAAGGTAGGACATTTTGTAAACAGCGAAGTACAACAAATTTCGCATTTTCTTTATTTCGAAAGTGAACAAGGCCCTGAGAAAGTGATTGCAAAACTTTAGGAATCGAATTTTTCCCAATAAATTTTAATCTAAGCAATTTTAAATCATTATTTATCATATGGGGTTATAATTAAGGGTGCATGCAAATGACTGTTTTACATTTCATTCTCGTTGTATGAAGACAAACTTTTACCTCAGGGAAACTCGATTAAAAAGTTTGCTATTTTAGCTAAATATTATTAATCCTATTCTGCTCTTGCTCATTTCACGAATTATGTCAATACGATGTCTTATTGTAATGGCACATTAAACAATCAGTAGTTATATTTGTTTAGATAGGTAGCTTGTAATGCATGGTAGAGTTAGTATAAATAAAAAAAACATATTATTCACTTCTGCTGATGAACTTATGTACATGTAGCTTCTTTGTTTCTATCCCAAGTTAACGTACTGTGCTCAATGCAGTTGTATCTATGTTTATCATATGGAAACAAAATAATTATGTATTTGTTGTGAATTATTGTGTTGTATATTTAACTTCTAACATCAATATCTTGATGGAATTTTAGCGTCCTCTAAAAGCAGGTACGCATCGTCACCATCACCAACGTTGTCCTCATTTACAAAAGGTAGGACATTTTGTTAACAGCAAAATACAAAGAATTTCGCATTTTCTTTATTTCGAAATTCAACTAGGCCCTGAGAAAATGCTTGCAAAACATTAGGAATCGAAACACTTATAGTAAATTTTAATCTAAGCAATTTTAAATCAACTTTTGGTGAGGATTTTTTGTCACATGTACGTCTGTTTAAAATGGATTTTTACCCATCCTCCCCCGGTAGTTGCTTTATGTTTTCATCACAGGATGGCCAGTGGTGGATCAAACTTAGATGGGGCCCCTCCGAACCAAATATTGAGGCTACCTCGATCACCAGGCATTGAAAACAAAACGTCAATTTGACACCTGACGAAAGCACTCAACCTTTCCCCGTAATGTGTATAATGTACTAATAACAATAAATATAATGTAATAATTACAATGTAGTTTTTTGTGCTGGGATGTCCGTCTTCCTTTAGCGACATTATAAGGCGGTATAGAAATGAAGAAAATGACTTCGCTATATCTGGGCCCTTCAAAACGCGGAGTGAGAAAATACTAACAAAACTTGAGATAATTTCCTGAATATTTGCTTTAATAATAAAACAAGCGATAATTAAATCTACAATCTCATCAAAAATATGCATCACTAGGTACGTCTACATCCTCTGTTTAATCGAAAATGTTTAAGAATTTGTTTATCCCCCCTCACTATACAGTAGCTTTAGCTTTCTAATTGTATAGTAGGATGGCTGTTTATGTCCATCTTTTCTTTGTCTGTTTCTCAGCTCCCAATTACAACAAAATCTCGAACACTACACCACCACCCATAAATAAAAAACATTCCACAGTTATGGTTACAACAAACCGAATTAATCCATCTGTTCACTTAAACGATGGTATGTTGATATATTATATTAAAATAAATTATGTCTGCTTTAATTGTTCTTTTTTATGGTAATTTTATCCAAACCACTAGTTTGCAAAAACGAGGGTAAAATGACAGTTGAAGTTGTGAGGTTGCCTTTTTTGAAATGAACAACCGTGAGCACGATCTATCGACGAACTGTCATGAACTGAACATCCAATGAAATTTGTCTGAATTAAATTTTAAGTAGAAGGCCTTAAGTTAACTTTATGAGATTGATTTTAATGACTCATTTACCTGAAAGTTAAGTGCTAAACTGTTAATGGACCTATTTTTATACACATTATTTTAGACTTTGGACAAAAAGCAATTATAATAATAGTCATCAGCTTTTTGGCTATTCTTGCAATTACCGGAGTTGTTGTGACATGGGTCTCATTTCGGTAAGTATAAACAGTTAAAGTAAGCTATTGAATGTTTCTATTGAAACTGGGAAATTTGGTTAGGAAAATTTGAAAGATGAAGCACGAGAAATAACCTATTAAAGGCCGTTTTTATAATAAATATGTATGTCTTAATCTCTCTGGACTGACAGGTCAAAGGTCATTAAACGTATGACTTTTTGGCAAGGGTTTAAGGTGAAAGGTCATATTATCTGTGGCATAGCCGGGTAGCCAGCTGGCAAATTTGGCCGCCTAATGCCTATGTGTTTAACACATGATGTTTACATACTGTGAAAACAATAGATTTTTAAGGAAATAAATGACGACATTGCTCTGAAATTTACATTGACGAATTTTATTATATTATATCATAAGAACATAAAAATAGTGACGGTATTACGCGTCAGTTAGTTTAGTAACATACCATGCATGTATGTAATCAATTTACGCACCGAGACAAGCGTTAAGTTTCAATTTCTGACTGGGTAACAGCGAAAAAATGAAGAAATGTCATTTACTCGACTTTGGGCTAAAATAAATTTTCTCAATTTCAGCTAAACAACCTCACAGACCATGCTAACGAAAGGATCAAGATGAAAATTCTGAATTGGCCGTTTATTTAATTTCGTCGATTTCTTACTGTTAAATGTTTTTTTTTATGAAATTATAAGAACAATGCGCATGATAATCATTTTCAATTCTACAATCTTTCAATTTTTACAGAATGAAATATATTTTTATTTTTGGGTGAGTTAGACCACAGTAGCATGTGTTAAAATCATACTTGCTTTAAACTTACTCATACTACTAGACTTTGAGAGCAATCAGCAATTTCCTTGCCTCTCGGTGAAAAGAGGCAAGTTTTATAATGACAGTTTTATAACTGTCATTATATGAAATGCCTGATTTTGTGTCACCGTTTGAAGTTTCATTATCAAATATTTGTTCTACCTCAGTCACAAGTTATAATATCTGTCATAAATATTAGAGCATTGCTTCTGCACAAAATATGCAGATACAAAGTTATGGAGAAAAATATAACCATCTCTAACATTATATGTTTGTAATTGATGATAGTCCAGGTTAATAAAGTCCTGAGAAGGACTGTTTTTGTTGTTGTAGACTGACGTTTCGACAACCTTAGCGGTAGTCATCTTCAGAGTCATCTCTAACATTGTCAAAGATATTACGAGTGGCGTAACAAAGTGTTGATGAGTTTGAAATGCATTTGTCAAAACAAGTGCATGGTAACGACCAACTGTATCTTTCAGCACAGATTTTAAAATAAATATTATGCTTAGTAACAATTTAATAGGAAAAATCATCTGCGCGTGCGCTCGAGCATGCACAGTCCACTCGACTCATTGCCCATAGTCATAGCAACGACTAACTGGTGCATTTGCACTAAATTCATGGCAAATAGCTCACTTAGTCGCAAATTATCAAAGAAATCTTCTGAGCATGCGTGGTAATGATGTCAATCCTACGACAACTTTCGTAATACTTCATATAGTAGGTGTCAACTAGCAGTGGAAGCTTGGTGGAAGCTTGAAGCTTGTATGCAGTGGCTTATTAGTGTTTTATTAGGAGCCCAGACTTCGGTCGCGCTCGCCTTCCCCTGCGTACCCCGAGCAAAGCCTATCCCAGGCGATCTCGGGGAAGAAGCTTGCTATATTGGTATTCCCAAGTAGGATAACGTGGAGAGGTCGAAATATCCTACCAAAACGTTAACATGCGGTGTGCTAGTGCCCAACGATTAAGAGGGTATCGGGAAGCATGGACCTAAAGCGGGATTTTATGCTTTCGAATTTTATCTTTTTGTTTAAAAGAGTTCTTCTCATAAAAGAAGCTAGAACATCCAAGTATACTGCAAAGGTTCAGACAACTTCTGCCTTTTTGACTTATAATTTAAACCAACTCTAAGCATGTTTAAACGTTTTTGACTTGTTCCCTTTTACAATGTAACTCTCTCGTGATGAACGACAGCCTCCTTATAAAATAAAATAACCACATTTATAAAACAAAAACAATAAAATGCGTGCGGTGATTGGTCTCTAGCTGTGTTTGCATTAGCCTGCTCAAAACAGATCTGAGCTCAACAAATCAAATCAATCAAAACAATCAATTAGTCAAAGAGAATTTGCGAATTGATCATGAACACTCTTAAGAGAAAAAATTAAAACGTTTGTTTTAAAATTGTCTGTTTCGCATTATTGTATTTTATAAAAAAAATAAAAGATGTTTTTCGTGTTTGCACTGGCTTACGCAAACCTCGGAGACGTTTGTGATAACTCTCGACTTACTCGAGCAGGTGCAACTTTTGACGTTCGAGTAAACACGTTTATTTCTTTGCTTTAAATATAATGGTGTTAAACGGGTATTCCTGTATCAAATGAAATGGTTGTTTATTTCAGAAATTTCTAGCACGCTGATTGGCTATAATCATTCGCCAAACAAAAACCACCTGGGCCTTTCATGATTGCATCATTGACGTTGATAAAATACAAAGCATTAATAGTTATAGTACCTTCTTCATTACATCGAGATGGGACTGCTTTTATCAATAGAGTACAATCTTTTTTAAATTAAAGACCAAAGCCTGTCTCACTTGCCGCCTTTAGTGAGGCTGTATTCATAGAAAGTAAAACCCACTGTTGACCACCAACCACGCGTCGTGTATTTGCTCTTTATCGTCATGTATTTGCGCTTTAGCGTCGTGTATTTGCTCTTATGGATTGTGCAATATATATCCATATATGGAATACGTACTGTATGTACATATGGGCTTTTCATGATTGCATCATTGACGTTTTATTTACGTATACAACGTGTTTATAAATGTTCGATGCCTGTTAACCCTTAAATGCCCAAGGAGGGATATCAATGCAAAAATCTGTTCTTTGGTATTTTTCCTTAAAATAACAAGCAATACCAAGTTCAATTAAAAAATTTTAGAAAAAAACATTTTTTCTTACTAAAAAAAATTGTGACAGATTTGTCACATTGGGCATTAAGCGCTACTTTGTATAATAAAGAAAACTAGAGTTTAAAACTAAAATAATTATATAGTATTCATTAACAAAAGCATGAATTTTGTGAATATAACAAGAGTTTTAATTAATCAATACTTTAATCTGTCAGTATGGAGAAATCTTTATGATTTTATTTATTTGTGTGGTATTCCATAAAGCAATTTCTGTCTTTATTGAAGCAGAGGTAAACATTGCATTTGCCACAGACAACATGAGAGCGAAAGGCAGAGCAAATTTTACATCTCTGACGATGTCTGTCATCCCAGGAAGGCATATGATCTATTTTATCAAACCGTATCTCTTCATTTGGTTGAGTGGTTGGTCTTTTTTGAGATGTCGAGGCATTGAAAGATCGTCTTCTTTTACTTTCCTTTCCTACCTTAATCAATCCCTCTGCAATTGTTGCTTGGAAGTCATGAAGTTTGATTTGTTTCTTTCCTCTCTGATTTTTTCTGAAAAGAAGCTATGAATTGACCATAGCCACTGTAAGGGTATGAAACCAAAGGTAAAGATACCATCGCCTTGATCTTATGGAATACTTGCACAATGAGCAAAGCATGTCCATTAAGTCAATGCCCCCCATGAACTTATTGTACTCGTCTACAAGCTTTGGCTTGGGAATTTCTACATATTGCTTCTCCTTCTTTTCCCATCTCTTTGAAACACCTAATGGTTCTGCTCCACAGTAAGTAGATACCAATGTCACTGCCTTTTTGTCCAGCCATCTGACAATGGTAATTCCTTTTGATGAGTCATTTACCTCATCATATGCTCCTCGACCTTCCTGTTTTAGAATTTTTTCAGGTTTAAGCTGACACCCTTTCATTCGATTTTGACACATCGTTCCAATGTATTGTATACCTCTGTCTAGTAACTTTTCAACTAAGGCAAAGGAGTTGAAGTACTTATCAGCATAAAGCTTGTGGTTTTTGTTATCAGGCAAGGTAGATGCCAATTTGAGAACCACCTCACCACTAACACCTACATCAGAGCGACTTTTGGTTTCTTCAGTTGCTCCCTGGTACACATCAAAATCATGCATAAAACCAGTAGATGATTCTCTAGCCCATAATTTGAATCCCCACTTTGTTGGCTTTTTTGGCATGTACACCCTTGGTCCATGTTTCCCTTTAAACGCAACCATTACCTCATCAATTGACTGGTGTTCTTCAGGAGTAACTTTGAGAAAGTTGCTTCTTAAGTCTCTAAGCCAAGGTCGTAATTTCCAAACACGATCCTTTTTCATGTCATCAGTTGCATCATTGTTGTTAATAAAATGTAGTACTGTAAGGAGCTTCTCAAATCGGTTTCGGGATATCTCATCAGTACGGTGGCCCACAACTGTCACGGCAAAACAGTAAACTCACGGCAAAATAAAGAAAACTCACGGCAAAATAAAGAAAACTCGCGGCAAAATAAAGAAAACTCACGGCAAAATAAAGCTGCAAAATAAAGAAAACTCGCGGCAAAATAAAGAAAACTCGCGGCAAAATAAAGAAAACTCGCGGCAAAATAAAGAAAACTACTCACGGCAAAATAAAGAGATGAAATGGTCAGCGGTCACTGTATGTAAAATAGATGTAAAACTGCTACTTCCGCGCTATTTTCTCCGCACTGTTTATCCATGTGTTTATCTTATGATTTATCGCTATGTTTTGTTCAAATTGTGGACGATCATGTGGGGATTCGGATAGATTCTGTACAAATTGTGGTACAGGTGAGCTTTCCAAATTTCTATATATTATGTCTTCATGGTATATCGTTGATATCGTTTACTTGTGACATGTTTAGGGATGAATTCAACCATACTCGAAGATGATGTTGATGAAGAAAGAGAAGTTTCCATTGACGAACAAAGTCTCATCACGTACTATTTTCATCGTGGGTTTATGTACGATGAGATTATTCTGTTTTTAGCTAAAAGACATAACACTGTAATGAGCTACAGCACTTTGTTGAGACGACTGAAAGTCTATGGCCTTAACAGAAGAGGGTTTTTCCAAAGAGATGAATCTGAAGAAACATTTCACCAAGCGAAAAGGCGGATCAGTGAAATGATCAATGGACCGCAATCATCAGCTGGATACCGATCAATTTGGCACACCTTGGAAATGGAAGGGTTGAGGATTCCGCGTGTTGTTGTACAAGATCTTTTAAAAGAATTACATCCTGATGGAGTAGAAGCAAGGAAAGCTCACCGTCTCAAAAGAAGAGTCTATCACAACCCTGGCCCTAATTATGCATGGCATATAGATGGTTTTGATAAGTTAAAACCTTGGGGCTTTCCCATTCATGGAGCAATTGATGGCTTTAGCCGTCGGATTCTATGGCTTCGTGTCACCAGACTTAATAAGTGCCCTGATAATATTGCAACATTTTATCTAAACACAGTTAAGCAATTGATGGGTTGCCCTGTTAAGTTGATTACGGATCTTGGGACAGAAAATGCAATAGTTGCTGCAGCTCAAAGCTATTTTCGAGAAAATCCTGATTCTCATAGATATGTCACTTCCCCTCGGAATCAACGCATAGAGAGCTGGTGGTCTTTTTTTTGCAAGAACTGAGCACATTGGTGGAGAAGCTATTTTCATGATTTGGAGTTTCAACAGGCTATTGACACTTCATTTGAACTTAGTAAAGAGTGCCTGTGGTACTGCTTTTCTGGTGTTATTCAAATTGATTTGAATATCGTACAAGAACATTGGAATGCACATTACATCAGAAATTCACGGCACAACACTGTTTGTGGTAGACCAGACTCACTTTTTTACCTACCATTACATCATAATGCAATACCTAATCTTCTTCACCAGGTGACCATGGCTGATATTGAATGTATAAGTTCAAGTATTGTTCCAAATGATGTTCCAAATGAATATGATGAATATTTTGATTATGTCTCTAGTGAACTTTTGCTAGAATCTCCAAAAGATTGGAGTGAGGCATATCAACTATATTGCAAACTTATGGATGTATCTAAAAATGGAGCTTAGAGCAGAGATGTGAAAATATACATGAGTATGGGCTAATATTGCTCATTGTAGACGCATTGTTTTAAAATGGCTTATACTGTATCTAACACTGTTAAGAAAGAATTTCAACTTAAGCACTCTCTAAAATTGAAAGTTCGCAATTATAATTTACACAAATAATATTTTCTAATAAAGTGTTTAGCAGTTTGTATATTAAGCTCGCTGCGCTTGCGCAGTTTGAGCACTCTCGGATTGTGTAGAGTCTCATAAAGAGACGTTGACCACTTTCGCTTTATGCAAAGCTCACCTTTATAGGTTTGAGTGCTCTGATGACTCTACAAAACAATCCATACAATGTGTAACTGTATCACCATACCAGGTATCACCATAGTAAAATGGTGACTCTTGCACTTGGGACACAGGATGTATGGCTCTATGGGACACTATGGTTCTATGGGTACTTGGGACACAGGATGTACAGTTTAAGCTTGAAAAATGGTAATCCAGGCATTGTATTGTTTAAAAATGAAAGTTTCTCTGGATTTTTATAAAATTATTTTTTTGAGCTTTTGACTCTGTGAAGAAGAAAATTCACAAAACTAAAATTTCATCCTGACAAGCCTGTTTTGTGATTTCTGAAGAGTGAGAAATCACAAAACAGGCTTGTCAGGATGAAATTTAGTTTTGTGAATTTTCTTCTTATCGATATTTATGCTCTGCTCTAACGCATCGAGAACTGTAATTACGGAAAATCAAATAAACAAAACTTCTTATATATATGACTTTATATGAAATTATATTTGCACGATAATTTGTTATGATTCACTATATGGACATGGAACAATGTGTAGTGAATCATAACAAAATATTCAAATATATATTGCTCTATCTAAATTGATATTGAGTACTTCGTTAGTTTGTATACATTTTATTTGATATTATACTATATATATGTATATATATATTACAACAAAGATGAACTGTAAACTGGCATTAAATGCAAACAAAAACTATACATTTATCTATGATAAATGTTTAATCTTGTCAAAATAAACCAAAAATATGAACTAACAGAACTATGAATTAATGGATTCTATAATAAGTATGCCTCTTTAGTATAAGATCTAATTTCTATGACTGTAAGCAAAAGACTGTTCATAAATCAAAACAATTTCTAAAAGCAACAGCTGAGTCAAAGTGAAACATAAACATAATCACTAATAACAAAAGATTGATAAAAATACAAGGTACATTCATTCTTATAAATGATGGTATCTATGCCTTACCAAAAGACTGGCCTTTGGAAAATGCCATTAGAAATAGTTCTTCAAACTCCTTTGCAGTTTTCATGTGCAGCACAGGTAATGTAAGAACCTTAGCACATGCACCCACTTGGGGGAAGCATATTTTGTGCTGCGGATTCCTTTTTGTGCAATCATGATCAAATCTAACTGTTATAGAAATAAGTTCACCATTTAGTGGCTTATGTTTCTGTCCAGTCAACCACCCCATAATTCCTGCAGGGGAGAGATCAGGTGCTTGAAAAATATCATCACCTTTGAATTGCTTTGAGACATCATCCTCATCTTCACTGTGGTTGAACGAAATTGCTTCAGGGAATCCTAATAAGGTTTTATCATCTTCAATCTTAAACAGGAAGTCTTGCAAGTGATCCATAATAGCCTCTTCTACTTGCTTCATTGAGCTGCCATCTTCTGAATATTCAGGATTTATGATTGATAATAAAAAATTGGCATTTACTTCATAACTTGATAATAACTTGAGCCCTTCCATAAATTCCCTTACCAAAACAAGTTGTCTTGAGACAATGCTAATGACCATGGAATTGATAATTTGTTCAACATGATCATTATCAATTTTCCCAGTATATTCATGATCAATAATTGTGGATGAGAAAGCAGTAACATTACTTCGCACTTGATTTAATAGTACCTTGTCAGACGGTGTTAAATGATTGTAAGTATCAAATTGCCGAGGACGCAAATTCTGAGCTTCCGCCATTAGATTAAAGACACTGTCGTCCAAACATTTCAGAGCTGGTCCTCCTTGAGCTAGAATATGTAATTTGTACTTGGTGCACTGAATGCATTATCCAGGGGTGTATTGCTGGGGGGCTCGTCCCTCTTGCTAAAGACTAGCTGAAAATATATACATATTTCAAAGAGCCCTTGTTAAATTTTTTCTGAGCAATATTAAATATCAAACAGGTTATTACTGTTTATCTTCATATAAAACAAATAGAAATTTGGAAAACTCACTTGTACCACAATTTGTACAGAATCTATCCGAATCCCCACATGATCGTCCACAATTTGAACAAAACATAGCGATAAATCATAAGATAAACACATGGATAAACAGTGCGGAGAAAATAGCGCGGAAGTAGCAGTTTTACATCTATTTTACATACAGTGACCGCTGACCATTTCATCTCTTTATTTTGCCGTGAGTTTTCTTTATTTTGCCGCGAGTTTTCTTTATTTTGCCGCGAGTTTTCTTTATTTTGCCGCGAGTTTTCTTTATTTTGCCGCGAGTTTTCTTTATTTTGCCGCGAGTTTTCTTTATTTTGCCGTGAGTTTACTGTTTTGCCGTGACAGTTGTGGGCCACCGTACATCAGCAATTGGTGGGTAACGTGTAGCTCTCTCCCAGTATGCTCTTATAGATGGAAGCTGACAAAGCCCCAGGTGGAAGTATATTGCAATTAATTTTTCTAATTCCTGTACTGTAGTATTAACAGATGTTCCAGTTTTTTCAACACTATAAATGTTAGTTTGCTGACACATGTTTTTAAGCATCTCTTTGTTTACAAACTGTTGAAAAATTGTCAAAGGTGATGGTGGAGGTTCCGGTACAATATACTGATCACCCATGAAAGGCTTTTCAACATGCACATATCTATGTCTTCGCCATCGATAAACACCCTTTTTTGTCTCATTGTCAGCAAAAGACTTGACTCTTTGAGCCAATGGAATGCAATCATCACCATCTGTACTTGTATTTTCTTCATCGTTTTCATCTGCGCTTGTTACAGAATCACAAAGCAAATCAATGTATCCATCATTATCAGCAATTAGCTGGTATTCATCATCAGATGATTCTTCACTGAAATCAATTTCACTAGTGTTGATATCATCTATTACCTGCAACACATCTTCAACACCAAAGATATCCTCTTTCTTATTCATACTCTAGAAATTGAAAAATTAAAAGTAGTTATGTAGGGAAATAAATACACCGGCAATTGTGTTGAGTAAACATAACCCAAAATCATTCATAATAAAATTATACTAATAGTATTTCAAAATTCTAGCTTAAGACCTACATATATTGTTCAATTTTTTTTAAATTCTCTTAAATAACATTTTTCTTAATAATTTAGTTAACTAAACATTCAAAAATAATAAAGAATTCCATCGGTGTAACAATTGTAATTCCATGTGTCATTAATTAAAATGGTACTCAAATGCCCATTGTGACAAATTTGACACACAACTATTTCCATGTATTTTTTTCGAAAGAAAATATATAATCAAAAAAACTCTAAACTAATTTTATAAGCTTGTGAGTCAATTAAAACGATTCAATATATAATACCACAGTAACTTACCTTTTATACAGTGTATTTCTCACATTTTCTTCACAAGATTTTCACTTCGCATATTTTAAAAATGACTGCCATGTTTAAATTGTTTTTTTCAAGCCCAGTCTTCACAATAAGCATTATCAGCTCATTAATAATATTAACTAAGGGTCAAATGTGTCACTAAGCGCATTTTCACCCGTTTCGCTCATTCTAAATGGGTATTACTCAGAGTTCTAAATTTTAGAATGCGGAAGATAGCCAATTTAGATTGCTTTCTGTGCTATCTAAAGGCTATGTTTGTCTCTCCTGACCTCAATATCTCTGGACACTGTTAGTGTGAGACAGAAAAGATGGCGCTTAGTAGGAGCGTGGTATGTTTTACTACTGGAAAATGGTATGCATAACCACACTTACAACCATCTACATTTTACAAACTTTTTTATGTTTTAACACGTATAGAGTGATGATTAATGGAATCTTTATGTTTTATTTGAAATAATATGTTTAAAATAACTCTCACAGTTAACACAAGTTGGCAACTTGGCATATTTACACTTGTAGTAGATTTGCTACTAGATATTTAATTCATATGATAATGCAAATTGATATCTTCCGTTAAATCAAAGTCACATGGAGTAGTAACTTCCTAACAACAAATTGGCTATTGGAGTTTCGAAGGTTAATAAAAAAATGTATCGTTTTGGGAAAAAGTTTAAGCGTTCAAAGACGTTTTTCTACACTCGAGGCCCTCGACGATCACCTATTGATTCGGTAGGATAAAAATTAATTTGTTTCAAGTAACTCAATTTCAGCTTCAACTTAAGAAATGAAGTTTCATTTCAACTACCACATTATCTGATCTTTGAGATAATACTCTCCATCCATATACTTTCATGATGGAAATTTGCTGTTGGTGGGCTACAAACAATCAAGCTGCTTTTCGTATTACATAATGCTTATGATTGTGAAATTATTAAAGCCATTCATTCACTTGCATTTGTAGGGGAGTTATCTACGGATGATAATTGTGGTGGTATACATTGTTTCAAATACATATAGATAGCCCTCTTTGGTTTAAATATTTTAACATATTCACTAATGTGCAAGAATTGATAGTTGACTTTGGAATTTGTGAACTATTTTGGATTTCCTACTTTGCTCTCTGCAAGGTCTCTGTACATATTAGTACAATTATGTTGCTTATAAAATTTTGGCATGCTCAACGAAAGCTTGTACAGAAAGGTAAGAAGGAAATATGTTGCATTTAAGCTTGATTGTTGTAAGCCCACCAGCAGCGCCGAACAGATACATTTTCTTCCTATTGCAAGTTAATTGTTTAGTGGTAGTAAACATATGTGTGAAATATGTTTTAGTTGACAACTTATAATACATTGTTTCATCACAAAATAGATGGCCCCTCATAGCAGTCAATCTAAATCAAACGAAGACTGAAGTGGAATGTAATGTGGTTAGTCTCTAAGTATCTCAAAATTATGAAGTCTGAAATATCTGTGTGGGATGTGTTGCATTAAAGTTGTGAACCTTAGGTGAAATGAAAAATTAAATATGTTACTTATCATATATGGAGCATTGCAAACTTTCTCTTAGGAAATGCATGATGATCATCCATTGTTAGAAGAATGTGTTGAGTCAAACATCACTCTTGAACAACCGTTGCATCTGGTTAGTTTTAGTTGAATTATTCAGGTTTCTGTAAAGTAATACAGTAAATTCTTTATGCTTGTCAGAAAGCCAAAGTAATATTATAAACTCTTTAGATTTCCCAGAATATTGATGAAACTATTACCGTTGATGTCGACAAATCTCAACCTGATGAAGTAAGTGCAACTTGCAGATACAAATATAGTGCTCAGAGCAATATGAAATAAAGTAGCACAGATAAGATGAAATCTTAATAGTTTAAAACTTAACTCAGGATTTTATGCTTGATGCAATGTATTTAATGTGATCCTCACCTATAATATGCAATAATATACTTTCTGCCAAAGTGCAGGGTTACCATCTATGTATATGGTAATCATGAGGAGGACACAATGTTTATGTATAAATATATAAAAGTGACTATAAGTTGACTAAGCTTATTGTGAGTAATGTTTATAGTGAAACACCTTAATCATGTTTTTCATTTCTCAAATTAATAAGCATATCATAAAATATTATATATCAAATAAATCTTTAAATACTTCAGTTAGCATTCATAATCAAACATTATTGACAATCATAACAACTTATTCATGACTCAATAATCACTATGTCAACAAGATAAATATTTCTCCCTTAATGGAAACTTGTTCAAATAATCACCAAGATAATGTAAAACTTTAGGAGAAACAACACACTCATAACATGCATTGGTCTCACAGAAAAGAACCCTACCACAACCTAGGAAGCACATATGTTAACACTGACCACTCTAACCCTGGCATACAATGTTTTCATATGAAACTTATCATGAATGTAATTTCCGTTCTCTGCCTAGAAGAAAAACTGTAACCACTTGTTGACTGGAGTTATTTTCCCTCTTGAAAAAATTTAAACTTGAGTCAAAGAATTTAACTTCCCAACAAAATGTATTGTTTTTTTCTAGAAAAATATTGCAGCTGTTTTGCATTATACTGGGTTATTGCTTCAATTTTCTGCAGTAACAAATTTGGGGGAACATCAATCATTTGCTATTCTTGACTATAATGTGGAGAAAAGAAAAATTATGGTGAGCTCCTTAGTAGTGAATGTATTTTATAATGTTATATTCATATATATTTTACATTTAATTAAGCACACTTCATATGTGTTTGTTCATCGGTACCCTCATTATCGTGCAAATGGATTTGTCTGGTTGTTTGGCTGTTCATGTGATCGATTGCGACTGGAATTTGTGCAGGCCCTTAGCTCAAATACTAATTTAAGTACAGATAAAGGTATACAAGATTATTAAAAATGACTAATTGTAAATTTAAGCACTAACTTCTGGAATACTCTTTTAATAGTTGTAAGCTATCCAAAATGCTTACATATATTGGCAATGGAAAGATTTTTGGAGACTTATGATGAAAATTTGGGAATAACCTCACAAGAATCAAGTTTTTTCAAGAGTATGTTATTGTTCTCATAATGCAGAATAAAGTAAATGGTTTGAACTCGAGTATCGTGACATGTTTGTGGATGTAGGTCGTCCAGGTAGTTGAGTCCTGAGAAGGACTGTTTGTGTTGATGTTCAGATCAAAATTTTTGAAGATGACTACCACTAAGGTTGTAGAAAGTCAGTCAACACCAACAATAACAGTCATTTTCAGGACTCTACTAACCTGGACGATCTACATACAGAAACATGTAATAATGCAGAATGGTGGTTATTTTGCTATATGAGAACAGTATGCTAATATCATGCCAACCTGTGAAAAAAGTAATTTTGCATAAAATTGATGGTATGTTTGTTTTTAATTTTTAAGTTGTGGAAAAATCAGGAACATCTGACCCAATAGATCATTCATACTGTGGAATGTTTCCTAAAGAGGTTTTTACTTGCAGTCATTGATTAAATTATAATATGTTCTACGATAGCTCCTTTCATGTTACAGGACTTGTTTAAAGCCGTTAGTGGTGGTCCCAACTGGATTGCTGTAAAACCAGTCAATCGCGAATGGGGCGTGTGCACATTTACTTATTCTAAAGTAGCACTACCTCAAGCAGAGCTAAGATGTTCTAATTGTTCATCTTACCTCTGCATTCATGTTACAACTCTTGGGAAGGCGCTGGAAATCGTACAAGATGATGACGACTCGCAGCTAGCATATTTTAAGTTAGCTTTTGAAACCTCACCTGAAATGAGAAATTACTACGAGTTGGCAACTCGTAGTGAAAAAAGTTAAATTATTTGAAATAGGTAAAGTAGTGTAGTAAATGGAAATAATATATGTGTTTGTGTAATGGGTGGCCAAAAACATGGAATCGTCATTTAAATTTCAATACTCATTTTTCACACAGGTTGTGATGAGAATGATGCCAATCATTTTGCTAAGCTTCTGGCTATGAACTGGTCAAAGATATTCGTACCTAGTGCTTGTGGTACTTGCTCTTGTGGTGCTGCTTGGGATAAGCGTGATGTATCAGATGACTGGCTGGATGTGGAAGGCTGTCATGTGGCGTATCTTTATGATTTCCACTGTGTGAATGGTTTGTAAACTGAATTATTTATTACTTTCTTTGTATTAGTGTCACGACTACAATCTTCTGTGAATTTTTAGTGTATTATCGACCGTGTTCTACATGCACAAACAAGAAGCGGTACGATGGTATCGAGAACAACGTCTTGTGGTTTGGATCATTTTCCATTTCGCATGCAGTCCTCAAAGATTATATAAGGCATTTTTTGGTTTCAAGGTACGTGTGATAGTCAGTTATCAAGTATGAAGTAAACATTTTTATCTACATGATTAATTATGAATTCATGAAAATATCTTTTCATCTTTTAAATGGTTTAGCCTGCCCATGTATAAATATTACGTGACGTACGTCCAAAGACAAGTTATGTCAGGAAATTTGAATTTTTCTGGCATTATAACTTACACCAAGTTTCGTCTGGCAGTTACTGCAATGATTAGGTAACTTTTTTTTATTTCAACCTGCACCAATTTTTAGGTGAGTTACATGTATTTAAAAGTTTATTTGATCGGATATTCGTTTGTTTAAATTAACTTTTGTTGTAATGCTAAATATAAATGATAAAGTACGTATGCTACCAATATATATATATATCTGTAGCACTTACGTATGTTTAGCATTTGATCATTTCATTGGTGGTGAATTTATGATAAGGGTGGGGAGTGTAGGTGCACAGAGGTGCTCCCACCTGTAGGTAATGGTCAACAAAGGGTACATAGAGAGGTACAAAAAATGAAAACACTATCCTACTTTTAATGTCCAAGAAAGTCTGAACATTTATTTACTATCATTTTACTTTCCTTATGAAGTGGCAACACTGAATAGATCAAATGGCATTCTTATTTATTTTGTTGACAAAACAGGCAGTATTGTATCCGCTTTTAAGAATAACTATGTTAATTGGTTTTTAACCATAGATCTAAAAAATCCTTGCTGGATACAACACTGATTTTTTACGCTATTTAGATTACTTGACATTGACTTTGTTGACGCTTTTCATTGTAACATCTGTGGAAAACATCCGAAAAAAGTTGTTATGGACGGTACGGCACTTGGTATCCAAAAAACCTTCTTGCCTCGTAAGGTAGCTCCCCAGAAGGCCCTACGATGGATGGAAGATAAGTGTTTTTCTGGGTGTGTTTTTTCATTGGCTAGCTGGACATGTGTTTTATTTTGGGGCGGATTTTTCCAACACTAGGTTCGAAACGCGGAACTTCCTCAATCGGAAGAGGCAGAGAGTTGTTGAAGAAATTTATAAAGAACCAAATTACAGAAGACGAACTCGTGGAATTAACCTCGGAAGTATGAATGTTGTTAGTTGTTTATTGATGTACAATATGCTAAGAACATGTTGTAGCTATTTTTACAGGCTATTTTACTATTGCTCGTTTATTTAGATTTCATCTCCTGGCCTAAAATGCTAATCGTATCCCTTAGAGAGGAACATTTTGGTGTCACGTTTCCAGAACCTTGCATAAGACTTCTCAAAGCACTTGCGTCAGATAAACCTGTTTGTGCAATTGTACCTCCTGTGAGAGAGGTGAAGGATTTGTTGATCAGAATTGCCAACGGAGCAAATCCAAAGGACAATCCATTGTCTGATTTACAACTTTTGCACGAACAGGTCCCCCTCTTGTTTTGTCTTTGCAATCATTTTGCAGAGCTGCCAAACCCCATACGTGTTTTGTGTGGGGAAATGGTCGCCAAAGCGTCCAGTCCTTTTACTGACCAAAACGGGTGTGAGCGTTTGCCCCACAACCTTCCCCAAGTTCAGTGTGATGGTCAGTTAGGTTTTTTTCCATCTTTGCCTTCTCTTGTTGAACGTGGGCACTATGTTCTTGACACAAAAAGAGCTGGTCATTTAGATGATTGTGCCAAAGGCGTTCGTTCAAAGAAGAAGCATGGGTCTTTAATTCCTGGGATATTCCTTATTTTATGTCCGCACGGTATGGCAAAGAAGCATTAATGTTCTTGATCATAGAATGACAGGAAAATTCATCCCGTAAACTCTCCTCATTGAAAAATTATGAGATTTTTTATTGTTTTTTAGGTATTTGTTACGGCTTTCAAGTGATGCCCGATCATGAATCACCCAATGTTCCTTTTACCATTTTAAGAACTCGATTTTCTGAAGGTAATTTGAAGTTTTTTGAGGTATTTCTCATTCTTTTATGAGAATTGTGAAATTGTTAGCGTTTCGTTACTCCCAATTGTAAACAAATAAACTTATAATGTTTAGCTCCTGAACTAGTGATCTATGACAACGCGTGCAAACTACACGAGTACTGCCTTAACCGCGATCCTGCTTTTTTTAAAAAATCCAAATTCATCGTCGACAAGTTTCATTGGAGAAACCATTCTGGTATAAAACTCGTATTTTATTATGCTAAGTGTGTCGAAATTGAAACGACTCATATCTTTGACTCTTATAGGTTGCTCTGAGGGATACGATATTAATAGATATCCCATTTTAAAAAACGCACAACAGCCAAGCTGCAGAGCAGTGTAACTCTGTAATGAAGCCACTTGCGTCAATGGTTTCATACATGGAATATGACAACTTTTTGCTATTTTCGAAATTGTATATTTGGTACAGAAACATGTTGCGCATAATAAAATGCAATCCTGGACGGGATGTTCCAGAGAGGGAAACGTTTCTTGCAATCAGCAATATTATCAGATAAGTAGTATTTGAAAACCAGTATTATTTAATTGGGAACCATGTTGAAACGAAATGCTAACACTTTGGAACAAACAAAAAGTCTAAGTAACAGTTGAAATATTTTTCTAAATTCATCATTTTAAAGAAAATACGTCATATTTATGACATGTCTGCGTAACGTATAGCTGTAACATTTTGTCCTCAAACAGCTTCATATTTTTCGCATTTATAGCATAATGAAAAATTTTGGATATGAAAATGAATGAAATCAATTTTTAAAATGTTGAAATCATAACTCGCACGATATTATAGCTTTTCAACGTCAATGGATAATGCTGGTACTCATTAGTTATTAAGTATATATATTTACTCCACGATTATTCTATGTAGTAGTAATGTTGCACCTCATGACACAATCAGAGTTTATATGAAGAAGTAATTGAACAAATGTGCCGAGCATTGACCATTTATATAACGCCTGTTTTTCATTGTGTGTAAACAGGTCGACTGTTACAGGGACTGAAGAAGCTCTTTTAGCTGCGTACGTCTTCCCTCACTGTTTATATTTTCTATCGATGAGTTGATGCATCCCTAAAATATGATAAAATTATCTGTTATATGTCACATACTGGAATATGTTGCTTTTAAATTATTTGCGTATTTTGCGACAGCAAATGTCTACATAACAAAATACCTCCTTTATTATTACTCTTGCAAACTCTAACAAATATACGCCGCAATCGTGACCATTTTTTTGCCTTGCAACCTGAATGGTGATTAAATAACAACGTTTGTGACATATCCATACATTGACTTTATAGATCAATGTGTTTATGCTTGTCAAACAATTACTCGACTTACATCCGCATAAATAGGCTCTGAAATGCTTCCCATGTGGTCTGGCCATTGTTGCTCTTCTTTTATGTGTTGGAGATACCTTAACGTTAAAAAGCTGTTTATGAAGTTAGAAAACATGTCGGTACATATCAAAAGAGGCAACCTGTTAGTTCAGTATGTATAGAAATAACAACCTTCTTATGTTTGAAGCAACAGTTTTATTCTTCCAACCCATGCTGCACAACACGTATAAACGACTTGTCAAAACTTCAAAGACCACTAGCCACCAATGTGTCCTTTAAAATATATCATGTCTCAAGTATCTCATAGAATTGAACTATAGAAACTGATTTTCTTTGTAAAATTCTTACATGTCGCAGACTGGTATAAAAATCATTTTATATTGATACATGTTCTTAGGTGTGTATCTCCTCACTCCATGTAAGTTGCATCCCGAAAGATCTAATGGTCGCTTTGATCTGAAAAATTGCAAATATTATAACATGTAATTATCTCTAGAATCTAGGGTGAAATCTTAACCGGACACTTACACGTGTCCTTTCATGAGTAGTTTCTGTTGGAAAAACTAGAAAAGGCATAATATTGTTCCCCATCGTCTTTTCTTTCTGCCGTTTTGCAGTAATACCTATTGCATTCATGTAATTTAAGTTAGCTTGTAAAGTTTTTATTGCTTCCTTCTATATGTTAGATTTGAATCATTTCACATTACCTTAAAAAGTCAATTATGGTATCACACAACCACTTGCTTCCATTTAATGTTTCGACATCACTCTTGTATATTACAATGCCATCAAAACAGTTCACTCTAAAAGGCATTGATGCTACCTTTGTCGTTTTCCTTTTGTCAAATATTTTCAATATATGAATGTCACCTTTCACTCTCTTCACTGCATTCTTTCCTGTCAAAGATATAGTTTTCTATTATCGTCAGGAATTTTCTTCACATATTCAATAGAAACATTTACATGAGACATTCAATTTTTATTGACCTGATTGTAGTTGCTGGCTTTTTCTTCTAGTCGGTCTCTTTTCAGATGTTTGCTCCATAAATACATAACTATTTTGAAAAGTTTTGCCAACTGTCAAACTAAAGTAGCCTATTCCTCCGTTGTCCGTAACTTGGCATAAACACGGAAAATAGATATGGAATAGTTCAAACTGGGGACTCCATATTTCCAATGACGCACGAAGTGCTCCAGCAATGCATTGAACATGCGTGTTAGTAAGGGTAACCTCTAAAAAAGGGAATAATTTGCTTGTCATGTAGGTTTTCTAAATTTGTTTAATATTAAAGAATTTTCTTCGTGATTTGAATTTTGAGAATGTTCACCTTCAGTGTTGAAATCTTGTATTTCTTTTATAATTTCTTCATTTGAAATTGCTTTACTTGTTTGTCGTGAGCGCTAGAAAAAGATGTGTTTCTTTTATAAATAAAAAAACTTAGAGATTTACAGAGCAAAATATTACTTCGGATGCCAAATGACATTGATGTGCAACTCCGTATAGAAATGAATCGAGTTGAAGTCTATTGGGATCAATGCTTAAAGCGTTGAAAATGTCTCCAGGACAACTTGTGTCGTAATCATGTGGAACGCCCATGAGGTCTTTTCGTGTGACCTACTCAAATATTATTAAGGAATCAACAAATTGTCATTTAGATTAGAACCGTTCAATCAGTCAATAAACATTAGCATTTCATACTTTAAATTTTTCGTAATAGGATGTTGATGTGTATCAGCTAAGTCCAACAATTCGTAGGCTGTTTCAACATATTTTAGGGGGTCTTTTAACATTGCGCGAACAATACAAGCTATTTCTCTCTAAAATGGATTGTGGTATCGTTTTGAAATTTAAAAAAATAAATGTGAGTTTCTAAAAGTTTTCTTACTTTTTCGTACATGTCTCTCATCTGTTGTAAATTCACTAATTGTGTATCCTCTTCCTGATGGGTATAGAAAAAAACGTTCATTTTTGGTACGCTGTTTTTTGTAATTTCCTGGACGTTCATTTACCCTTTCATCCTCTTTTATGTTATTTAATGCAGCTTCGTTATCAACAAATTTGTTTTCGAAATCTTCTCTTTTCTCGCTCTCATCACTTCTTTTATCTTCTTCGCTTGTATACGTATCTTTTCCAACATTCGCATCTCGATTAGTTTTCTTGGGAATAAAAGCAAATAGCAGTTCGTGTTTAAATGTTCTTATATTATTTCTTAAAAGATGGTTAGTGTGTACCTCTTGTCTTCCTTGACCAAATGATTGTGTTGTCTCTTCATTTTTTTCATTTCCAGTAAACTAATTAAACAAAAGTTAAGAGAAGCAGTGAGTTGTCTTCTATATACTAAATCTACAACAATAATACTCACTTCATGAACGTATTCTCCATACGATAGAGCGATCTCTATCAGTTCTTTCTTATTTAAAATTTTTCTCGAGCGTTCTGTTTTATCATCAAATTCTTCTTCATCGTAATCATCCTCTGAGAATGGTGTACAATATGTAAATAAAAACAATGAAAATATTGAAGATTGATTCACTTGATTTACCTGAAGGTTGATTAATCCTGGCAGATGGCGAAACAAATGGGATGTGAGGAGGCCAAAACAACGGTTTCTCTGCTTTAAGCCAAAAGTCTCTCACTCTAGCCACTTTCCACTTCCGTTTTCCTTTCTTGTCTAAAACCAATCTTGAATTCACGAGGTCTGCCGTTGTATATCAGAAATTAGTTACTCACAAATATACAAAATAGTTTTACCGATGTCAGCTGTTCTTGGGAGAACCATATTTAAAACCAGTTTCCGTAGCTCTTTGCACGACCAAGTCCCTTGTTTTATTTCTTCCAAAGCATCAGGATCAACAAGATCAGAGCGTATCTCCTGCACTTGATAAACGTCTTCACAGCTTTCTAATATAAAATGATACAGACTTTATTGCAGCATTGTGACACCTTTATTTGTTTTTATACAATTTAGAAACAACAAAATAAAAGTTAGTACTTGGGGAGTCAGTTGTAATCAAAGAATTGTCTTCAACATATTTGCACATGGCATCTCGGGAAATATTCAAGATTTCTCGACGAAGGCCGGGCGTTCCTGTTTAAATGAATTGATTACATTACTTCTATACCGACAATCGTATTTTAAACACAAAAATAATCCAATTCAATTCTTAACTTCTACACAAGTCTAAAATCTTTTTGATAGAAGAATTACCAGCAGCTTTAACCGTTCCATGTCCATCAAGATATAGCAAAACCATCGGATTGAGGCTCTTCTCCGATGACATTAGATCAATCTAAAAATATTTATAGAGCATGTGATTTATAGCTGTTACATTTCAAATTTAGTCAATATTTTCTGCATTAATCAAAGAGGGTACAAAAAGTTTATCATTCTTTTACCCTGTCTGCAATACGTTTTTTCTTTCTGTACACATTGTGCGCTTCACTTTGAGAAATCGATAGCTCTTTTTTCTTCAAAAATAAACTTGACGTTCAGATAGAACTCTGGTTGAGAATTCATTTACTGTCAACGTACACATAATCTTACCGGTCTCTTGCTTTTTAGAATAAACTTTTCCCCTCGTGAATTTACTTTACTTTTTATATTGGAAGACATCTCAACAATAATTTGAAGCAGTTTTCAGTAAATAAGCGACCTAATCAAATTCTAACAAACCTTGCAGAAATATTAAAGCAAATGTTTTCGGTGCCAAGTAATTTATAACGGATCGAGATGCAGCTATTTATTTATCCTGTGCGTCAAAGAATTTAAGTGTGATCTGTCATATTAGTGTTTTTATAAAAGGAAATGACAAACTTCCGTGACACTATTGTGTAAACCAGGTGAGAAAATTAGTAAAATTTCAGATATTATAAAACATACCGGAAAATGGTATGTATAACCATGATGAAATGATGGATAAAAACAAGTAAATTTTTACGAGGACTTAAAATTTCGTGTTTGTGTGTCACAATGGTGTAAACCAGATGAGAAAATTAGTAAAATTTCAGATATTATAAAACATACCGGAAAATGGTATGTATAACCATGATGAAATGATGGCTAAAAACAAGTAAATATTTACGAGGACTTAAAATTTCGTGTTTGTGTGTCACTATGGTGTAAACCAGATGAGAAAATTAGTAAAATTTCAGAGATTATAAAACATACCGGAAAATGGTATGTATAACCATGATGAAATGATGTCTAAAAACAAGTAAATTTTTACGAGGACTTAAAATTTCGTGTTTGTGCGACACAATGGTGTAAACCAGATGAGAAAATTAGTAAAATTTCAGAGATTATAAAATGTACAGGAAAATGGTATATATAACCATGATGAAATGATGGATAAAAAAAAGTAAAGTTTTACGACGACTTAAAATTTCGTGTTTGTGTGTCACTATGGTGTAAACCAGATGAGAAAATTAGTAAAATTTCAGATATTTTAAAACATACCGGAAAATGGTATGTATAACCATGATGAAATGATGTCTAAAAAACAAGTAAATTTTTACGAGGACTTAAAATTTCGTGTTTGTGTGTCACTATGGTGTAAACCAGATGAGAAAATTAGTAAAATTTCAGATATTATAAAACATACCGGAAAATGGTATGTATAACCATGATGAAATGATGTCTAAAAACAAGTAAATTTTACGAGGACTTAAAATTTCGTGTTTGTGCACTATGGTGTAAACCAGATGAGAAAATTAGTAAAATTTCAGATATTATAAAACATACCGGAAAATGGTATGTATAACCATGATGAAATGATGGATAAAAACAAGTAAATTTTACGAGGACTTAAAATTTCGTGTTTGTGTGTCACTATGGTGTAAACCAGATGAGAAAATTAGTAAAATTTCAGATATTATAAAACATACCGGAAAATGGTATGTATAACCATGATGAAATGATGGATAAAAAAAAGTAAAGTTTTACGAGGACTTAAAATTTCGTGTTTGTGTGTCACTATGGTGTAAACCAGATGAGAAAATTAGTAAAATTTCAGATATTATAAAACATACCGGAAAATGGTATGTATAACCATGATGAAATGATGGAAAAACAAGTAAATTTTACGAGGACTTAAAATTTCGTGTTTGTGTGTCACTATGGTGTAAACCAGATGAGAAAATTAGTAAAATTTCAGATATTATAAAACATACCGGAAAATGGTATGTATAACCATGATGAAATGATGTCTAAAAAACAAGTAAATTTTTACGAGGACTTAAAATTTCGTGTTTGTGTGTCACTATGGTGTAAACCAGATGAGAAAATTAGTAAAATTTCAGATATTATAAAACATACCGGAAAATGGTATGTATAACCATGATGAAATGATGGCTAAAAACAAGTAAATTTTTACGAGGACTTAAAATTTCGTGTTTGTGTGTCACTATGGTGTAAACCAGATGAGAAAATTAGTAAAATTTCAGATATTATAAAACATACCGGAAAATGGTATGTATAACCATGATGAAATGATGGCTAAAAACAAGTAAATTTTACGAGGACTTAAAATTTCGTGTTTGTGTGTCACTATGGTGTAAACCAGATGAGAAAATTAGTAAAATTTCAGATATTATAAAACATACCGGAAAATGGTATGTATAACCATGATGAAATGATGTCTAAAAACAAGTAAATTTTACGAGGACTTAAAATTTCGTGTTTGTGTGTCACTATGGTGTAAACCAGATGAGAAAATTAGTAAAATTTCAGATATTATAAAACATACCGGAAAATGGTATGTATAACCATGATGAAATGATGGATAAAAACAAGTAAATATTTACGAGGACTTAAAATTTCGTGTTTGTGTGTCACTATGGTGTAAACCAGATGAGAAAATTAGTAAAATTTCAGAGATTATAAAACATACCGGAAAATGGTATGTATAACCATGATGAAATGATGTCTAAAAACAAGTAAATTTTACGAGGACTTAAAATTTCGTGTTTGTGTCACTATGGTGTAAACCAGATGAGAAAATTAGTAAAATTTCAGATATTATAAAACATACCGGAAAATGGTATGTATAACCATGATGAAATGATGGAAAAACAAGTAAATTTTACGAGGACTTAAAATTTCGTGTTTGTGTGTCACTATGGTGTAAACCAGATGAGAAAATTAGTAAAATTTCAGATATTATAAAACATACCGGAAAATGGTATGTATAACCATGATGAAATGATGGCTAAAAACAAGTAAATTTTACGAGGACTTAAAATTTCGTGTTTGTGTGTCACTATGGTGTAAACCAGATGAGAAAATTAGTAAAATTTCAGAGATTATAAAACATACCGGAAAATGGTATGTATAACCATGATGAAATGATGGCTAAAAACAAGTAAATTTTACGAGGACTTAAAATTTCGTGTTTGTGTGTCACTATGGTGTAAACCAGATGAGAAAATTAGTAAAATTTCAGATATTATAAAACATACCGGAAAATGGTATGTATAACCATGATGAAATGATGTCTAAAAACAAGTAAATTTTACGAGGACTTAAAATTTCGTGTTTGTGTGTCACTATGGTGTAAACCAGATGAGAAAATTAGTAAAATTTCAGAGATTATAAAACATACCGGAAAATGGTATGTATAACCATGATGAAATGATGTCTAAAAACAAGTAAATTTTACGAGGACTTAAAATTTCGTGTTTGTGTGTCACTATGGTGTAAACCAGATGAGAAAATTAGTAAAATTTCAGATATTATAAAACATACCGGAAAATGGTATGTATAACCATGATGAAATGATGGCTAAAACAAGTAAATTTTACGAGGACTTAAAATTTCGTGTTTGTGTGTCACTATGGTGTAAACCAGATGAGAAAATTAGTAAAATTTCAGAGATTATAAAACATACCGGAAAATGGTATGTATAACCATGATGAAATGATGGCTAAAAACAAGTAAATTTTACGAGGACTTAAAATTTCGTGTTTGTGTGTCACATGGTGTAAACCAGATGAGAAAATTAGTAAAATTTCAGAGATTATAAAACATACCGGAAAATGGTATGTATAACCATGATGAAATGATGGCTAAAAACAAGTAAATTTTACGAGGACTTAAAATTTCGTGTTTGTGTGTCACTATGGTGTAAACCAGATGAGAAAATTAGTAAAATTTCAGATATTATAAAACATACCGGAAAATGGTATGTATAACCATGATGAAATGATGTCTAAAAACAAGTAAATTTTACGAGGACTTAAAATTTCGTGTTTGTGTGTCACTATGGTGTAAACCAGATGAGAAAATTAGTAAAATTTCAGAGATTATAAAACATACCGGAAAATGGTATGTATAACCATGATGAAATGATGTCTAAAAAACAAGTAAATTTTTACGAGGACTTAAAATTTCGTGTTTGTGTGTCACTATGGTGTAAACCAGATGAGAAAATTAGTAAAATTTCAGATATTATAAAACATACCGGAAAATGGTATGTATAACCATGATGAAATGATGTCTAAAAAACAAGTAAATTTTCACGAGGACTTAAAATTTCGTGTTTGTGTGTCACTATGGTGTAAACCAGATGAGAAAATTAGTAAAATTTCAGATATTATATAACATACAGAAAATGGTATGGATAACCACGATGGTTATACTTCTATAAATCAAAGTTCTAATCCCTTGTAACCTCACGTACAGGCGTTTTTTGTTCATGGTATCGATCTTTTAAATTTTATTGGATTAAATTATTCGTGTTCGTTAGGTTCTATACTAGTGATTCCAGAGCTTTTATTAATGATCGAATTCATACGATTCCTGTTTTACTATGTACTATTTCTGAGTTGTCTTTACCAGTGTACAGCGGATACCTCCTTTATTCGCGTGGTTGTAAGTGATGTTATACCTACAAGAAAATGGACGCAATACAAACTTCTAGGAGCGGCAATCGCAGGGTAAAACCATACTCTTTGACTGTGAAGACATACTCTGCGTCTGGGAAACTTAGTAGGAAAAATATTTCTCTCTCTCCTAATGTTGTTCTTCCCATTCGCACGATCGATACATTTGAAGGCTTTCAAGAAAACCTTAACGAAGGTACAAATAATTTACGTGGAACTGGATCTCGATATGAAAGGAGGAGAGTGAATGAAAACGAATCCTGGAAGTGTTTGCAAGATAATTTAGTAAAGTCGTACATCGAAAATTGTGCCATGTTGCCAGGACAACTCTGCGTAAAATGTGTAGAAGATGGGATACCAGCAAAGAAAGCAGAAATTGGATGTCGTGATTGCAGTCACGGACAGTTCTACTGTTTTGAGTGTGCGGAATCCCTTCATCGAACGAGGAATGTTTTCCATTTGGTTGAAGTATGGAAGGTAAGCTTAATTCTTTCTGGCGGCACAGATGAATCCCTATAAAATTTGCCTGCCAGCAAAACATAAACAAGTTAAGTCGTCTATTAGAAGGCAATTCTAGGTGATTATTTCCAAAAGTCAATTCTTCAGATGAAATATTTTTGCTTTTTACATTTGGAATTTGGCTTGTTAAGCTCTAGTATTCATCAAATGCTGGCAATTTTTTACAACCATGTCTTAACTCTAAAGTAACTTAATCTGTAGTATTTTGTTAAAACTATCAATCATTTTCAAGAAGGATATGCTGCTATATGCTGTGCATGGTGCCTTATGGAATGTATACATGTTCTTATGCTTAAATAACTACTCTTTAGACTGATTGTGAAATGTTTGTTCCATTACTTATTGGTGGTATATTACGTGACAGTCAGCATGCTAACTGCTCTTCAACACAATCACATACTATAATATGTGTGGATTGAAAGGTACAGTATGGCAACAATAACAGTATTTTGACTTTGACTACATGTAAATGTGTATATGTTAGTAATACTGTTAAGCATTAGCTTCATTTAGGCCAATAATTTCTATGTTAATTATTTGCATAACAATTAATCCAATTTTTAATCTCATACAAAATTTAGGTCGGCCGCATTTAAAAATTGTTGAATTCTGTCAGTGTATTAAGGATGCTGATAACTAATTAAACTCCAGCTGTGGCCAGGCTCATCTTGAAAACCCAAAATTGCATTTCACTTTGACTTCATGGATTTTGCCGAAAAATTCTTGCTCGAGAGCCATGTATCCTTGCACAAATTTTGCAGCACTGTTGAAGTTGAATATCCTGAAATGCTACCTAGAGTGGTATGTATTTCTCATAAACTTGAATTGTGTACTCATATGATAGTCTACCCATGAAATAGTGGAAATAGATGGGTTGTACTTTGCAAAAAATTTTATTGAATCACTGTTATTTACAAACAACATAAATAATGCGTATTTGCCTCAAATAAGGTAAGAGCACATTCAAATTGCACATGAAGTTTCCTTTGCTGTTATGACTTTGTATTCAACCTTATTTTATTTTTGAAACAAATGCACAAGTTTACTAGGTGTTCATTTCAAACGCCAAGTCAGATCATTAGAGTTCATACAGAAAGACCTGGTTGATTATAGAAATTGCCCTCTTTGCCCACAATTCAGTATTTGATTTCTTTTTTTCTACTATTTGCTTTGTGAACTATTTTAAATTATATGTTTTTTGTCACATATATTATCAGAACATTTAAAGTTGTTGTGAAATATGAAGTGTTACATGTTTACCATAAAATTCGTTTCATTTTATTAAAGAGCTTTGTTTGCTTTAGACTGGTGAGTAAGGTGTGGCCATTCATTCCATGGATGCTTGCTTTGGTCTAACTCGCAAAAAGTTGGCAAGGAATAGTTTTGCCGTCCCAAACCATGGCTGCCTTAAGTTTGCTGATCAGGATGAAGTAGATGATTTTGTTGATCAATATAGCAAGTCTAATAACAAAGTAAGAGAGGTAATTATTGCATGATGAAGGACTTTGAAGCCTTTTCAAAAATATTCTGTGAAGGGGAGTGAATAGTTTGAAAACAAACTTTAAAAGCAATGGCAAAGCCAGCACTTTTTTACTTTTACATTGCAATATTTTTGTATTCAATCACTGGAAAAACAATGAATGGATTTGATTTTCTAAAGAAATTATTAATAATTTTGCTGACAAATTTGCATTGTAAGAGTAAAGATTACAGGCTTCGCCCTGAGTGGGTCTATGCTTCATGCAGGTCCATGGGCCTTGATACATACGTAAGTAGCTACGTGGATTTAAAATCAAAATTACAAACAGCCAATTTTTTTCTTTTCCTTTAATTTATCATGCTTATGCATGGTCTATGACTTGATTGTGTAAACTGTCATGTTTATTTTTACAGTAATAAAACAATTGTTATATATGCGCTAATCTATAATGTGCTCCACCTTATTTTAGAGTTGTCAGATATTTAAGGCAGGAGAAGTTACAGAAGCACTTCACTCCAAAGAAAAAAATCAACTTTTTGATGAAAAAGGAGTGTTTGGTAGTTGTTGCAGTCGGCATTCACACCTTGGACGATTTTTCAGCACTAAATATGGGGAAAGGTTAGTGTCTTAGCCTTGGTTTGCACGTAATTATCAATATTCTTGATCTTTGATGAGGTAGTATGGAGAGCAAATGATGTGGGACAAGTTCATTCACCAACTAAACTTTGAATAAATTGGTACCGTTCTAGGCAAACAAGAGGCATGACATTTTGTCAAAAGTGTCAATTTCGGTGCCGATATTTCATTGTTATGGACACAAGGCTTCATGCCAGGTAATGAATAAAGCTTTGTACCTGGTAATGACAGGGATGGATTAAGAGGCGGGATAGCGGAGGAATGTGCTCTCCTCCAACCGTGATTAGTGGAGATGGATGAGGAGTGGCATTTTCCCTAAGAAATTTATGTATATCAAACCATCAAGCGATCGTAATTGGGGTTTATGGAGCACAATTTCAAAATCTCAATCATTGTATATAAGTAACAAAATTTAACGAAAATGTCTTGCATGTTACGGCAACAAGCAGCCACTAGAATCTTATCCAAACTAGAGCACCCCCTCCCTCCTAAGCTATGTTACCATATCTGTCTTTTGTTGTTCTTTAAATGTTAATTTTGTATTCCTTTTACTTGTTTAGATGGTCAGAAAATTGCCACTCGCTTGTCCAGGCAAATCGCCAAGATCACGAACAAGATGAAATTAACAATTGAGAAACACAATGCTGCCATTGATTCTCTTCGTGATGTTATAAACAGTTTACCCGATCGTCTGACATTTGACAAAGCGAAAGATCCTACATCAGACCTTTATGAGGGATTTGAGTCTGGTGAGGATGACATTCTAGGGGAAGCCTCGGTCCCAGTATACACAAAGAGGAAGGCTATTGAAATGTACTTAATCCTAAAACGATGTAACGAGGAAGAGAAACTTTTAAACTTGGAGATGGGGTTAGGAGATGGGTTTCATACTGAAGATGAAAACATCGAAGAGCTCTCAGAAGTGGACAGTGACATTGAATAGACGACATAGCTACTATTCTTAAACTAATAGCTACTTTTTATGTACTTATTATGTAATTTAGTTGTTCACGTATCTAGTATAACTGATATCACGCAAACATTTGGTTTTGTGACGTCATGTTAGTGCACAGTCATTTTCTCTTCCTCTGTACAACACCGGAAGTTTTGACGCGTCGTTTAATTGTGAGAGAACTATGTTCTTTATTATTTGTCAATGTCCTACAAGTAAGAGTTTATATGCGACATACATCCCAACCAATTAGCTCTGTCTGCCCAACCCAATTCATCTAAAATTGTGAGCATTCACATTATATAAAATAGCCGAGACGTATCCAAAGCTTTGTCAGTTGATCAACGGGGTCTGGGGCGAGTTTTTGAAAACACCGAATTTCTTGATTTGTCCGTCTAAATCATCTAATTTGTCTTTTAAGGTTACAAGCCTTCCCATGTTTTAGAGTTGACAACCTATAATAGAGTCATATAACGATTAAGGACACAAGCGACTGTGTTCACGGATTCCGGTTGACAAAAAACACCACAAGTGGAGACATTCTCACCAATTTGCACGAGCTTCTCGAAAGTGAGACGGTTTATGTTTTCTTCTTGATGCATCTTTTTTCGGCATTGCTTCAACTCAAATGACATGAATGGGCTTTAATATGGACGGGCAGTACAGTTTATAAGAGTATGCAACATATGTGAGTAATGTCCATTGTCCATATATAAAATAGAAACAATAGTACCCGCTCGGTGATTGGTCTATAGCCGTGTGTGCATTAACCTGTGCAAACAGACTTTAACTCAACCAATCAAATCAATCTATTAAGCAAAAAAAATTTGCATATCGATATATTTCTCAGATGATATATGGGCATATGTGACGTAAACGATCTAATAAATGCCCTATATTAAATTAACACCCTTATACATATTAAACGCCCCCCCCCCCCGCTCCTTGCAACGCTACTTACTAATAAAGTCCCGTCCTCGATAGACACCTACCACCTTCACAACATTACCTTTATGATATACTAATTATAGTGGGTTCACAATTTGGCTTATAAGAACTTTAGTTTGTCTTAGTTTTGTTTTATTTGTTCCCACAAACAACTAATATACACGTATCTCTTTTCATTTCGCTGCACCACAACATCTAGAATTGATTAAACGCCCTGGCCGTTGATAAATTCATTTACGGTACCAACGAACACTCAAAATAAAGCAACATATATATCATAAATGAATTCCACTTTTAACATTTCGAGAATTCCGCTGCGTCGACATTTTCACTTTACGGTGCTTTTTGTGAAATAAACAGCACCGCATAATCCAATATCATCGAGCATATGTGATTGTTACACAAAAGTATGCAGTAGCCAGTAGCAATGTTTTGTTAAGGCAAATAGTTGACAGTTGTGGCTTTAAATTTTTTAACAAATTATGTTTCAAATAAAATATTGATTTTTTTAGTTAGTACAACGACCCTTATAGCATGGACCTTATTAGTAGCAGAGTATGTAGCATCTTATAATAAAAACAGCCCCAAAAAACCGATCGCGTTCTTTTCTTAACATCAGAATGTTACTTTAGAATGTGATTGTAGGGAGGGTTGGTATTGCGTAGAGAATATTTGAAGCTCACGGCAAGAATGCGTGATACGTAATACGTGCAATGATTACGGTAGGCGTGCAACATGACAAGAGTGTTCGATCTGTAAAATGGCTTACGTGTTCTGTGAAATGGTGCTCAGTAACGCAGATTAATAACTTTGAGTTTTATATTATTTTAATCCAAACACGTGTTCGGATTCATTTCATGATTTAGACGGACAAATCATGAAATTCGGTGTTTTCAAAAACTCGCCCCAGACCCCGTTGATCAACTGACAAAGCTTTGGATACGTCTCGGCTATTTTATATAATGTGAATGCTCACAATTTTAGATGAATTGGGTTGGGCAGACAGAGCTAATTGGTTGGGATATATGTCGCATATAAACTCTTACTTGTAGGACATTGACAAATAATAAAGAACATAGTTCTCTCACAATTAAACGACGCGTCAAAACTTCCGGTGTTGTACAGAGGAAGAGAAAATGACTGTGCACTAACATGACGTCACAAAACCAAATGTTTGCGTGATATCAGTTATACTAGATACGTGAACAACTAAATTACATAATAAGTACATAAAAAGTAGCTATTAGTTTAAGAATAGTAGCTATGTCGTCTATTCAATGTCACTGTCCACTTCTGAGAGCTCTTCGATGTTTTCATCTTCAGTATGAAACCCATCTCCTAACCCCATCTCCAAGTTTAAAAGTTTCTCTTCCTCGTTACATCGTTTTAGGATTAAGTACATTTCAATAGCCTTCCTCTTTGTGTATACTGGGACCGAGGCTTCCCCCTAGAATGTCATCCTCACCAGACTCAAATCCCTCATAAAGGTCTGATGTAGGATCTTTCGCTTTGTCAAATGTCAGACGATCGGGTAAACTGTTTATAACATCACGAAGAGAATCAATGGCAGCATTGTGTTTCCCAATTGTTAATTTCATCTTGTTCGTGATCTTGGCGATTTGCCTGGACAAGCGAGTGGCAATTTTCTGACCATCTAAACAAGTAAAAGGAATACAAAATTAACATTTAAAGAACAACAAAAGACAGATATGGTAACATAGCTTAGGAGGGAGGGGGTGCTCTAGTTTGGATAAGATTCTAGTGGCTGCTTGTTGCCGTAACATGCAAGACATTTTTCGTTAAATTTTGTTACTTATATAAAATGATTGGAGATTTTTGAAATTGTGCTCCATAAACCCCAATTACGATCGCTTGATGGTTTGATATACATAAATTTCTTAGGGAAAATGCCACTCCTCATCCATCTCCACTAATCACGGTTGGAGGAGAGCACATTCCTCCGCTATCCCGCCTCTTAATCCATCCCTGTCATTACCAGGTACAAAGCTTTATTCATTACCTGGCATGAAGCCTTGTGTCCATAACAATGAAATATCGGCACCGAAATTGACACTTTTGACAAAATGTCATGACTCTTGTTTGCCTAGAACGGTACCAATTTATTCAAAGTTTAGTTAGTGAATGAACTTGTCCCACATCATTTGTTCTCCATACTACCTCATCAAAGATCAAGAATATTGACAATTACGTGCAAACCAAGGCTAAGACACTAACCTTTCCCCATATTTAGTGCTGAAAAATCGTCCAAGGTGTGAATGCCGACTGCAACAACTACCAAACACTCCTTTTTCATCAAAAAGTTGATTTTTTCCTTTGGAGTGAAGTGCTTCTGTAACTTCTCCTGCCTTAAATATCTGACAACTCTAAAATAAGGTGGAGCACATTATAGATTAGTGCATATATAACAATTGTTTTATTACTGTAAAAATAAACATGACAGTTTACACAATCAAGTCATAGACCATGCATAAGCATGATAAATTAAAGGAAAAGAAAAAAATTGGCTGTTTGTAATTTTGATTTTAAATCCACGTAGCTACTTACGTATGTATCAAGGCCCATGGACCTGCATGAAGCATAGACCCACTTTTCTCAGGGGCGAAGCCTGCCCAATCTTTTACTCTTACAATGCAAATTTGTCAGCAAAATTATTAATAATTTCTTTAGAAAATCAAATCCATTCATTGTTTTTCCAGTGATTGAATACAAAAATATTGCAATGTAAAAGTAAAAAAGTGCTGGCTTTGCCATTGCTTTTAAAGTTTGTTTTCAAACTATTCACTCCCCCTTCCCCTTCACAGAATATTTTTGAAAAGGCTTCAAAGTCCTTCATCATGCAATAATTACCTCTCTTACTTTGTTATTAGACTTGCTATATTGATCAACAAAATCATCTACTTCATCCTGATCAGCAAACTTAAGGCAGCCATGGTTTGGGACGGCAAAACTATTCCTTGCCAACTTTTTGCGAGTTAGACCAAAGCAAGCATCCATGGAATGAATGGCCACACCTAACTCACCAGTCTAAAGCAAACAAAGCTCTTTAATAAAATGAAACGAATTTTATGGTAAACATGTAACACTTCATATTTCACAACAACTTTAAATGTTCTGATAATATATGTGACAAAAAACATATAATTTAAAATAGTTCACAAAGCAAATAGTAGAAAAAAGAAATCAAATACTGAATTGTGGGCAAAGAGGGCAATTTCTATAATCAATCAGGTCTTTCTGTATGAACTTTAATGATCTGACTTGGTGTTTGAAATATCTGACAAAAAAATCAAATTCTTAAATGATATAATATATACAGTCAAACCTCTTGTATCAAATGACCCTGTACTAAGCAGATACTGTGTAAAATCCAAAACTTAATCTCATATAGCTAATAATAATGGAAGTATAATGATGAAACCTCAATCAAGCTGACACTTTCATTAAGCCAGTCAAAACACTAGTCTGTTGTCCAATGGTGTGTACTTAAACAGGTTAGACTGTACTACTCTACACATATAATCTAACTATTAGGTCTACAATAACTGTAAATAGACTTTTGTTTTATAACATATAACATACCTGTATTCATCGAATGATCCATTGTTTAACACATTATATATGTTTTTGACCTTAACAAGAATAAAATGAACACCTAGTAAACTTGTGCATTTGTTTCAAAAATAAAATAAGGTTGAATACAAAGTCATAACAGCAAAGGAAACTTCATGTGCAATTTGAATGTGCTCTTACCTTATTTGAGGCAAATACGCATTATTTATGTTGTTTGTAAATAACAGTGATTCAATAAAATTTTTTGCAAAGTACAACCCATCTATTTCCACTATTTCATGGGTAGACTATCATATGGGTACACAATTCAAGTTTATGAGAAATACATACCACTCTAGGTAGCATTTCAGGATATTCAACTTCAACAGTGCTGCAAAATTTGTGCAAGGATACATGGCTCGAGCAAGAATTTTTCAAAATCCATGAAGTCAAAGTGAAATGCAATTTTGGGTTTCAAGATGAGCCTGGCCACAGCTGGAGTTTAATTAGTTTTCAGCATCCTTAATACACTGACAGAATTCAACAATTTTAAATGCTGCCACCTAAATTTTGTATGAGATTAAAAATTGGATTAATTGTTATGCAAATAATTAACATAGAAATTATTGGCCTAAATGAAGCTAATGCTTAACAGTATTACTAACATATACACATTTACATGTAGTCAAAGTCAAAATACTGTTATTGTTGCCATACTGTACCTTTCAATCCACACATATTATAGTATGTGATTGTGTTGAAGAGCAGTTAGCATGCTGACTGTCACGTAATATACCACCAAAAGTAATGGAACAAACATTTCACAATCAGTCTAAAGAGTAGTTATTTAAGCATAAGAACATGTATACATTCCATAAGGCACCATGCACAGCATATAGCAGCATATCCTTCTTGAAAATGATTGATAGTTTTAACAAAATACTACAGATTAAGTTACTTTAGAGTTAAGACATGGTTGTAAAAAATTGCCAGCATTTGATGAATACTAGAGCTTAACAAGACAAATTCCAAATGTAAAAGCAAAAATATTTCATCTGAAGAATTGACTTTTGGAAATAATCACCTAGAATTGCCTTCTAATAGACGACTTAACTTGTTTATGTTTTGCTGGCAGGCAAATTTTATAGGGATTCATCTGTGCCGCCAGAAAGAATTAAGCTTACCTTCCATACTTCAACCAAATGGAAAACATTCCTCGTTCGATGAAGGGATTCCGCACACTCAAAACAGTAGAACTGTCCGTGACTGCAATCACGACATCCAATTTCTGCTTTGCTGGTATCCCATCTTCTACACATTTTACGCAGAGTTGTCCTGGCAACATGGCACAATTTTCGATGTACGACTTTACTAAATTATCTTGCAAACACTTCCAGGATTCGTTTTCATTCACTCTCCTTTCATATCGAGATCCAGTTCCACGTAAATTATTTGTACCTTCGTTAAGGTTTTCTTGAAAGCCTTCAAATGTATCGATCGTGCGAATGGGAAGAACAACATTAGGAGAGAGAGAAATATTTTTCCTACTAAGTTTCCCAGACGCAGAGTATGTCTTCACAGTCAGAGTATGGTTTTACCATTGAGTTCTATAATAACTGGAGCGGCTATCTTTACTGGGGCGAGGTCGCCAAAAAAATGGCGGCCAACGGACGTATTTCCGCTGAAATGATCGCTTTGCAGAAAAATAATATTCTCGACCTCCCCCTGGTGTCTATAGTAAATTATAAAGAATTTTTCAAAAACAAACACGATATCACAGAATATGGATATCGTTAGTTCCATATTCTGTGACGATTCTTTTTGGCATTTCTTTATAATGCCAACACTTCAATCGTTCAATTGTTGGATGTCGTAGTTTCCACAAAAGGTACATATCGCTTCCCACAGGTGAGGTAGTTGTTTGTTTTGTTAGTCCGTCAACGATTGAAAAGCAATTATACATGCACTTGAAAAGCCATAAAATACATATTAAAGATCGTATTTTTTAAGACTGACTTGAACGCCAAATATACTGATGTTTTCCTGTTTTATCTATAAATTTCTGCATACTTTTCTGTCATTTGTTAATGCATGAAATCGTAAATTTACCTATCTATTTGCAAAATAGTTTCCCTAAAGCAAAAAGACCCTGCACACATTTTGCTCTGTGAAAAGTATCAAGAAGAAATGATCAGCCCAACAGCACCCATGATTTGGAGCAGAGCTTGTTATGTTGTATTTGCTGACAACATGCAGGGAAGACCAAGAAGTAAAGATGACTGGAAGATGTTATTGATCAGGCAGAGTCTTAAAAAAATGATAATGCTGTAAAGATAATTGATTTATTGTCTGCCTTATCCAGAGTTATTTAATTTGATCATGGTCAAATTCTATGGATGGAGACAATGGATTCACTAATGATGCCTTGAATGCTTTGAAGTTGAAGTTCATGAACCAAAAAGATGGCAAGAAGGTTGTGTGTTTTGATGCTTAATTAAATGTCAATTCACAACATATAAAATGGAAAGGCCATAAAGTTTGTGTCTATGTAAACATTTGTACTGAGATTGATGATGACTTGATGCAGATGTGAAGCATTAAACTGAATAAGCCATTGGGTTTTATATAACATAATGTTTAAATCATGGCATATCTTTATCAAAATATTTTAGTTGAGTGTTGTTTAAATGTTACTAATATCTAATGCACTATACTGAAGCATTAAAGATTCAGTGATGAAACCTTTAAATTTACTGTACTGTATATTTCTTATATATTTCTTATATTTCTTTAAGAAACAGTTTGAGCTTATTTACCTATTAGAGTACAGAATGGGATTTATCATATGCATCATTGCTGCTTTTTAAATAAATGTTTTCACTTTTCAAAGCTTTTCTACAAATATTTTGCTTCTTATTTCTTTTCATGAGATTGATGATATAGAGGTAATATAATCCAATAACTTTATAATTTCTAGAAAGCTGTTAAGCTTCTAGCATAAAAGTACACTATAGGTATTTAATTCATTTGGTTTTATTGCCTTGTTATGACATATCCATATGCATTTCATCATTCATGTATGAAGAAAACACCAAATGTGGATACTCAGAGAACAAAATGCACTACCAACTGCTTATGAAATTTATTATTGAAGTGAAAACTGTTTTAATCATTCAAATTGTGCACTTATATTGAAAATATAGGAAAAACAAAACAAAGTGAAAAATAAGGGTAGAAGTATTAAAACTAAAAATGAATTATAAACACCATTGGAAGCATAAGTGTTTTGATGATTATTTGCATTTTGCCCAATTTATATATCAATACAACAAAATCAAAATGTGCTACAACTTTACAAGTATTTGATGCAGTTGCACTTCAGAACATCACAAAAAGGTTACTTAAAGTAATTTCTATACAATATTGTTTGTTTTGATTTACCAAACCTATGCAGACTTGAGTCTTTTTGAAATTTAATATGAAACTCAATTACAGAAAATACGTAAATATCCAGAGATTTAATATTTACTTTTTTAAAGAAACAAGTAAAAAGAAGCAAAATAGCAATGATAAAAAATAAGCTAACTTCTCTCTCGTGAACCACTGTGGAGATGAACTATGATATACTTTTTTGTATAGACTAAAGAGTTTAATCGATCAAACAAGTTTGACGCTGGTAAGAAAACGACGCATATCTGCATTCATAGATGTGTAGCCGACATATAGCTCTTTCATCGATAGTTATAAATACATCCTCGTAGGAGCCGATAACTGGAAAGCTATGTTGACTCGCTGTTACGAATTGTAGGTTTTTATCGTGATTTTCATCAAAAAATTGCTTGCCGAATCCCAAATACACACATACATTTTCTTCACTCTTTCCTCAGGAGGGAGTGGGAAATTGTGAAATTTTCGGAAAAGCGGTCAATTTCGGTAAATCTCAGCGGCAACGGACGAAATCCGCCATTTTTTTGGCGTCACCAGATATCTAAGGCCGCGCTTGAGATAGCCGCTCCAGTTATTATAGAACTCAATGGGTTTTACCCTGCGATTGCCGCTCCTACTAATCGCCATCTTTTCTGTCTCACACTAACAGTGTCCAGAGATATTGAGGTCAGGAGAGACAAACATAGCCTTTAGATAGCACAGAAAGCAATCTAAATTGGCTATCTTCCGCATTCTAAAATTTAGAACTCTGGGTAATACCCATTTAGAATGAGCGAAACGGGTGGCATTTTTAAGGAAAAATATAATACAATATGGATGCACTAGCTCTATAAATATGCGTGTGACAAATTTGTCACACGGGGCATTTAAGGGTTATAGTAATTTTCTAAAGCATGAGAGAAACTAAACTACAATCAGATGGAATTTATCGAAATCTTTTACAAATTCATATATTGACATGAATGCTGCTTTCTAAACTGGGAATTTTTTCAAGACGGCGAAAAATTTATGGATGAATTGTAAATGCTTGGCAAAGACGATCTCGCGAGCGACATTTCAGTCATTGATGTTCAAAAGCAAGCCAACATTGTTTTGAGTTTTATCAGCAGAAATTTACATCCAAAATCGTAAGTAAAGCACAACTGAAGTGTATGCATGAATGTATTATATCAAAGTCAATTTATGCGAGTGTGTGATGCGATTTATGTTAATATGGCGTATGGTAAGCAGATAGATGCTTCTAAAATTGTTGTTGCCGAAGGACTTTTAGCTATGATTTCTTTAGTGCTTGGGGAATCGTGATCGTTATATGGCAGCGAAATCCTACATTCCTGCAAATATATTTCAATGGACAAAAAATCTGTTGCCATAAGGCGCCATACTATTATTTACTTTATCATAAACAAATGTTTGGGGCTTTTCAGTTTATGATCATTGATCATTCAATCATTGGACAGTTATACTACACATTGTTTAAGATTTGAGAAAACTAACATTGATTACATGAGAAGCTGTTTACTATAACCTGTGATTTTGAGTCTTCTGATCCATGAAGCTTTTTATTTTGACAATTTGACTGGAATGGTATTAAACCTTAGTATTTCACATACATGAAATGTTGTCCCATGTCACATATTGTCCCCTTTTCTAACTGAACACCTCATGTAGAGATGTACAGGTGTGTTAATCTACGGCTCATACCAGATTGTTTGCCATAAATTACAAAGGGCTATTGATGTATGAAAAGCATTTTCTATAAAGTAAAAATGTCTTCCTATGTATACAGATAAACCTTGAAATTTGGCAAAACAGCAAAGTATTTTTCATGATCACTAGGTAATTTTTCTGATGATCATTATAATTTCTAAAGTAAATTATTTCAGATTTACATTTAAACGAGCTTTGATCATATGAAAAGATATTTATCATAACCAGTAAGCATGACACATGAACCAATTTTAACATTCATGTAATTATATAATTAAAGACATGTTGGTTACATTCTGTTTGTATTTGCAAATACAATGCTACTAGTGATTGCTATATAGCACACCTTGAAGAAGATAATAGTCAAGTGAAATGCCTAATAAACATTTATGGCATTAAGCTGTCCTTAACTGCAAATTTTCACTCTGATAATTTTGCTTAATCTTTGGCAGAAAAAATTTTGAGTTTTTCTCAAAGGAATTTGCACTGATGTGGAGATGGGTAAAGAGTTACAATAAACTTGCATGGTTTGAAGTCTGAGCTTTTCTATATCTATGAACTGTCACTTGTAGTACCAAATTTCTAACTTAACTCATTACAGAGAGGTTTAAATGGGGGTCTCTAGGGGGGTCTATGCCTGACAACTTGGTAGAAATTTTTAAAGACTATATCTGTTTTTGAATAGCATTATTATAAAATAAATTTTACGTTCCTAGACAGGCTAATGAGCCATATATTTGGCATCATAGTGAGCCTAAATATTTGGCAAAACTTTCAAGTATTGTTCATTTCTTTTTTTTTTGAAAAAAGGAAGCAAAATGTATTGTTTTTACGCAAAAACGATGCCCACAAAATACATTTTGTAATGCTCTAAAACGCTGAAAATGGCATTTTTAAGGCTCTGAAATTCAAAATTTTCTTAGAGGAGAAAATGCCTCAGACCCCCCCAGGTGCGGAGCGCCTCCGACGTTTTATGACTGATGTTTGAAAAATCCTAGATCCGCCCCTGCTGGAGGGTTCTCACAAACATCTATGAGCAGAAGCGTAAATAGAACGTTAATTTGGGGGGGGTTGCATATTCATATATTCTGTTGTGTCCTACTGATTTCTTTTGAAAGTGAATTGAATTTTAAAAGAAATCAGTAGGGCACAACTGAATATATAAATATATACCCCCCAATTAACGCTCAAGTTACGCCTCTGTCTACGAGGTTTGCATAAGCCAGTGCAAACACGAAAAACATTTTTTATTTTTCTATAAAATAAAAGTAATGCAAAACAGACTAAATTCAAACGAGGGTTTTAATTTTCGTCTAACATGTATTCACGAGTGATTATCTCTGCAATATCTCTTTGATTGGTTGAGCTAAAGCCGGATTTCCACTTGCGAATTTTTTCGCGCGAAGCGATAATTTCGAGTTTAGGCATGCGCAAACGTTCAACACGTCACATATACACAGCAATGAAATTCGTATAAACTGTTCGCCACGACGAAAATTTGAGTTCGATTGATTTCTACTTTTTCGCTTCGAAAAAATTCGCTAGCCAATCAGATTTCAGTGTTTCTGATGTGTGATGTTTGTCAAGCATATTCAGTTTTCAAAATGGCGGACGTTGAGGAGTTAATTGCTCGGGCTCGTGAAAGACTTTCCATACTATCCTGTCTATCCAACGACTCTACTCTACAGAAGACCGACTATATTGACTAAAGAATTTCTTACACAAAATACAAAACAAATGATGCTCATGGAAATATATTCCTGGACGTAAATACTAAGCTCTCTTAACGAGCAGACGAAATTCTCATTTTAAGTGCCGGTTCAATTTATAAACGAGTCAAACGACGTATGAAAAACCCTCTTTTAAACTTTCTTGAGAGTTCTGGCTATCGCTCCAGCAATAACAATCATAACATGCTATTTCAAAGCAGTAGCAGTTATATAGCCAGTGTTTGATTCAGCCATTTTGTATTAACATGTTTTGTATTTGGCGGCTTTATTATTAGTAGAGGAAATCATATTCCCCCCATTCGCACGAAATTTTTCGCTTCGAATTTATCGCTTCGCGCGAAAAAATTCGCAAGTGGAAGTCCGGCTTAAGTTCGGTCTTCATGCAAACACAGCTATGGACCAATCACCGAACCCGTTTTAGCTATTGTGTTTATTTTATAATTATCAATCAAAGCAAATACTATATCTTATATAAATAAATTTTCAGGTATTGATATGAGCAGTTTTTAGGAACAGGACTTACACATCGCTTCGCGTTGTGTAAACGCGCTCAAATAATGCTTCCAAGGCCATCCACTTGACTGGAAGTCGACCCTGTTTTAAAAAAGTTTTTGTAATGTGAAAACAATGTACCAAGATCAATCGAAATACATTTTTCACAAGATTACATACGTCTGTGGTCTTGCGATAGTAGTCAATCTGGTGAATATCCCTTGCTAAACCAAAGTCTGCAATTTTCATTACTCTATCTTCACCAACTAATATATTTCTGGCAGCAAGATCGCGATGAATACACTATAAAATTATTGCTGGTGTAAGGATAAATCATCACACCAATGCTTGTACCTATGCAGTGATATAGTTCAATCTAAAGCTACCTTTCTTCCTGACAAGTATTCCATTCCACGAGCAATTTGATAACTGAAGGAGATGAAATCCCTCAAACACAACTTTTCTTCTCCTTCTATCTGCATGGTGTTTCCGTTTCGGTCAGGTCTTCTTTCACGAAGATATTGTCGTAAGTTACCGAACACTGCGAATTCAACGACTATCAATGGCGGTCCTGTAAATCAACGAGTTAGATGGCTTATTGCTAAATGACGATGTACTGCTTTGAAGTTACCGTGAACTTTTTATATATATTCAAGCACTCGTTAACTTTAGGTACTCCATAATTTTTTTAAGATTTTTAAAAGTTTGCTCGGCTGCTAAAACTTTACTTATGATAGATTCGTGTCGTAAGAGCAAATGATGGCTTGTTTTTATATCGTATGATCTCACTAAATTTCTTTAGAAAGTTAAATTCAGACCATATCAAAAAATCTTGTTGCAAATTTGTACCAACTCACCATTTTGAGTGCAACATCCAATCAAGTTTATGATATTTTTATGACGACCAATACACTTCATCACTTCCGCTTCAGAGATGAGATCCATCAACTCCCTCTCGGTAGCGTCATCTAATGGATAGAAATTACAAATACATCCATCAATTATGAAAGTATAACTACGTCGCAATAACTCTATATTCTCTGACTCTTCCCATCATGACCTAACATTTGCCATGATATTTAAGCAATGGAGAGGAATGTCGAAAACAAAAGATTAAAACAAAATTGGACTTTACCAATAGTTGTACGAAATTTAAGTGAAAAGTGAGAAAGTAGTTTATTAGCATGAAAGGTGTTATTTGTTGTTGTTAGATATGTTGGAAAGAACCATCTAAAGAAAGTCTGAAATGCAACAGAGAGCAACTGTTGTTGTTGTTGTTGTTGTTGTTTTCTTGGTCGAGCTACAAGCTACACCAAGTCGTTTGTATCGTTGATAAAGTCTTTAAAGTCAAACCTTTTAACGTCTTCACGGCAACGATAGTCTTTCCCGAGTTCTGTTTCACCACATCAAACGCCTCGGCTTTAAGCACTTTACCAAAAGCACCTTCGCCTATCGCGTGCAAAAGATTCAAATTTTCTCGATCAATTTCCCACTCTGGATCAAGATGTATCGTCATTTCACTGATCTATTCAAAGGATAAAAAGTAGTGGTATTTTTGCGTTCAACTTTGGAAAATTGTTTCGTTTATTGTGATACTCACGTGCGATAAATTCGAGTCTAGTCTTACATGGCGCGAACTCTTCAACAGCGGATTCGTCGAGCGATTCGAAATCGATGATGTAGAACTTGTAGTATAGTTATTATGTAAATTATTAGTATTTCGTACGTCATATTACGTATATTACAATTAAGTAAAGATCTGTATAAAAGTAATATGACTAAGCAATAAAAAGAAGAAATCTCACAATATGACAGAACTCAACATCTGTCTGCCATTCGGAGGATTGATTGGTACGCGATACGCCGCAAAGCCCTGCCTGTGTTTCTTGTGTTTTTTGCGCTTGCATATTAAGAAATACAAAAACACTGATCCCAAGAAAATTGCAGCAAAAACACTGCATACTAAAATGATCAGTGGCGTAAGTGATTTCGGAGACGATCTCTCGATCGATTCCTTGGTGTTCACTGATTCTTTCATTTCCGGTAGCCTACCACTGGTGCTGAACAACGACAGAAATTTTGACGAGGTTGAAGGCGTTGTAACAATATCTGCAAATAAGCATTATTAATTTTACAAAAAATGCAAATTCAAACCATGATTACAATAACATTTCACGTAGTACAAAACTGGCTTCGTAAGTCTTTCGATTTTTTAATTGTGCAGACTTAATCTTATTTTTTGATTTCCTGCGGTGTGATTGGCTGCGGCGGCAAGCGACTACTTTCGATATCTTGATGGTGCTCCAAAAGTGTTGTTTTTTTAAGCGATTTTGTTTACTATATAAATTGCAAATTTTTAAACTTTATTCAAAAGCTGCGTAAGTTTATTAAGGAGAAAGAAAATTTTTTTCAGATGGTAGTTACCATAGCGAGAGTTAATTTTATCATCTAGACGAAGTGAACTTTGTAAAAAAACAATCCAATTTTAGTATCTACATCAAGCCACATCGGTGACTTTGCAAAGCGAATTTCTTATAGAAATAAAAAATAAATGTTATTTTTCCGTCCGGTAAATAATATATAGATGGATTACTGGAGGAAAAATTTTTTCTTAACGTTTAAAAAATCTCTTATAAGAGAATAATATACGATTTGAACTGTAAAATCATTGAAATAAAATATTGTTTCGAAGATTACAAAATTATTTGTCGTAAGAAAAACACCTTTTTTATGAGTTAACGCTATCCACGCTTCTTGCAACTGGCCCCAGATTTGAAAAATAATAACACCGAACTATCTGAACTATAATAATAACACTGAACTGTCCAAAATGTAGCACGTACAGAAAAATGCACCAACCTGTTATGGGTAACGTGGTCACTGGCTTTGGTAAAACATGCAGATAGAAAAATATTGATTCTGTATAACTCTCCCCATTTGCATCAAGTGCGATCTCACAGTAATAATATCTTTCGTCTTCCTTAGTCACGTTATCAATTCTGAAGTTAATACCCAGATATCGAGAGGTATCGCCAATCCATGTGTATTCGTCATAGTCCAAATCTGGTGTGAAAGGCTTCCGTTGCTTATTTTTACCTTTGCCAACATATATATACCATTCAAACCATGGAGGGTAGTCACACATAGCCTTACAAGTGTTGGTCGCGTTGTCACCTTCGTACACAGTTATGTTCTCCTAAAGAAGAGGAATTGGCGTCGTTATCATCATTGCTTAAAAACATAAATTTATACAACATGAACTTTGAAGGCTGGCTAAATGAGCTAAATAAATAACTAAAAGGCTACCTTATAATGTCTGAACTTGCATGAAGCACAATTTTACCACGAAACACACGTGTCTGGGTGTCAAATCCCGCAATCTAGTTTATCGTTGTAAATCAACTGTCTTTGGGATGTGGGGAAAAAAGATTATGGCTGGTTTAATTGGAGGCTTTGAATGTAAGGCGGGAGGTACCATTCCAGTTATATTCAATTCAATGGGTTGGCTACGCCACTGCACACAACACGCCGATACTTTTAAAGCTAATACCCGGGGCATCTGAATTTATAGCGAAAAGACTATATGCTCTGTTTTGAATGAGTGACAAACACAAGGAAACCCCATTACGTTTACTTGGTGCAATTGCCGGAAGATGATTGTCTTTTGGCAATTACTATGTTATGTTATGTGAACATGATGTCTGGTATTGTAAAGGCAAAAAATTTAAATATGATATTACAAAGAGTTTTCTATTACGTTGCAATTCCACTTGGTTCGTTCCACACGAAACACTTGTAAAATACTTGATCTTTCATCTTTAAGTCTTTAAATTTTAACACCATTGTATGTTCTGTCAATGGGTCACCGTCTGCCGTGTATCTCATAAGTTGGTCTTCTTTATACCATTTTATCTTGGGGGGTGGCCTTCCGTAAGCATCACAGGTTATTTTCATGCTATCTCCAGTATGATGCAAAAAGAAATTGTTCCAAATCTCCCATGGATCTCGAAAGACAGGTGCAACATCTGTAAAGAAACCGAGCAGTGTTTAGCATAAAAATCAAATATTAGGTTTTTGTAATCGAGCACTCTTTTAAATTATTGTAAAATTATAAAATAGCCTTTTAAAAACACGGGCGCTGATGAACTGATTGATCGAATTGCTTAATAAACCTTTGTTTCTATAACTCTATATAGAAACACAAGAATTTCAGTCTCACAAGTTGCGTGGTTTGCGTGGTTTGCGCATACAGAAAATAGAAACATTTTACTTGTTCTTTAGCAACTCAAAATAAGCATGGAAACGCTCGTACTTCGTGCTAATATTGTGTTCTATTTCTTAAATAAAATAAATTAATATTGATTGCAAGAGTACAAAAATTATCATGTAACCAGTGATAAACTCAATACAGTGCTGCTTCAGTATGAAACAATGAATAAACTTATGTTTACGAACAGTGATGTAGCCGCTCAAACTGACACATTTATTGAAAGTTCTTCAATCATGAAATGATTAAACAATTGTTCCAAACTATAAATATAGAAGGCCACGAGGCTGCTCTAAAATGGCGAGAAATTCATGATAACTCGCACATTCCGTTATTTAGCGCAAGAAATTATTTCATTTATAATAAATAACCCATGTTTTCATACAATGCCTAAGGATCGCCATATAATATTTTGATATTTGTATCAAAAGCCTTGAAAAGAAGTCTGAAAATATAATACTCACCCCCCTTTTGTTTTGCTCAACACTGGATCTGAATAAATTAAATGAAAAAGACATATAGCATTATACGAAAATTAGTAAAGTTATCCATAGCAGGAGTAAAGCTCTCACCGAAAATTGATACTGTAATCTTTCTGCTCACCGTTCCAGCTGCGTTTTTAGCATAACAAACGTACTCCCCAGCATCTGTCCATTGGACCTTTTTTAATCTGAGCGCTCTGTTTTTTTCAGCTGCTTGAAGAACAAATTCGTTCAGGCAAACTTCGTTAATGCCAGGTTGATCCAAAATGCATTTCCTTTCATCGACTTCGAACTGATACATTTTACCACGGCATTGCTCTATTCCCATGCAGCATCGGCACTCTTGATGGTTGACAACAAGATGCAACGAACAATGGCCACATTCACACCTTTAATATTGGCCAAATTGTATGTTTCCATAAAGTTATCATAGCTAACGGCAGACGATTCAGATCAAAGTAACACACTAAGAATGACATCTTACCATGAAGTAACATCAACACGGGCATCAAAACGATCTTGCAGCATGTCCTCAACCTGCCGTTCTTCTGCGACTGCAGCTTCGTACTCAGCAATTTCATCGGGCGAAGCAAGCGGTTCAATATTATCGGCAAATGGCAAAATTTCCGAATTAGATTCGTCCGAATTTGCCGTCATGAATTCCGATGAAGAAATCGATGCGTTTGTCTCAATCGAAGACTCAGAGAGCGAGCTAGATCTCGATGAATTTGGCATTTTTTTGCTCTATTTATGTATTACTTTGTATACTTTCTTGTGCGCTTCTTGCCGTGTTAAGACTATGACGTCACAGACCTTTGCTGATTGCAAATATTCAAAATGGCCAATTTTAATGGCGGACATGAAAATTAGACATTTCAAATGTTCATAACTCCCTCGTTATATTATTATTTTTGCTTACATTTTACGAAAGCAATAATTGATATGTGTTTAAACTATTGAATGCTAAAATCGATGATTTTTCAACGTTAAGTTTTCGTCATAGAACCACTTTAATATTGGTGATTGGACATGAATACGATGTCATGACAGAATAAAGACTCTTATCCTCTTCTGTCATTGCAAGCAATTATTTCCTTTTCGTCCGTCTTATAAATACGTTAAGAAAAACTTAAAAGTGAATGTGGAAAAGTTCTTATCGCATCATATATCATGTTAAATGCTTTGCGTTAAACTTAGAAGATAAAATAGGTAAATTATTATTCTTTACTTTAGTAATCAAACTGATTGACACGCCCCTTACTCGAGTTCCTTCACTGTGGTATATTGCAACTGTACTTCACTCATTTTTTCCTCGTAACGCATGCTGCTATATACATTGATGTGTTTTTCTGACAACTTTTATGTTCGACTCACAGTAATCAATGTTTTGCTGCAACATGGTCTCCAACATTGAATTAACTTATGCTGATTTGTTTGAAGGTTAGTGAAAACTTTTTTCTCCGCATTCATTATTATTAATCATTATTATTAATGGTGAATACCATTTGCAAGTGCCTCGTCTATATCATTTTAACTTCAGCACACCTCGCACATTTCTACTTTTTAGGAAACGTATTTGAACTGAGATTAGCATAACAATGCATCCTCGTTTAAACATGCACATATTACATACCATAACCAGTGGCGTAGCTAGGAAAAATAGTCACTCCCGCCAATCCATCTCGCGCCGGAGGCGCGACCCCACTAGGGGGGTCCGGGGGCATGCTCCCCCGGAAAATTTTGAAATCCAGAGCCTTGGAAACAGCATTTCCTGCGATTTCGAGGGCGAATTATTTGTTGTACAATAATTTATAAAAACCCATTTTTGTTAGCTGCATTCTTTATGTGGCAATCGTTGAAACTGCAACTAGTTAAAAAGGTACTAAAGGTGGCTCAGAGAAACGTTACGCAGGAGACAATTGTCCCCTAAAACATAATTTACTCATCACTGCCCCTGCATAAACAGAAGAAATTTGTATTAGCACAAAAAATAATATAGTATACGACACTTCTAAAGTGCATAGAGAGAGATTTTTCTTAGCATTCTACTTGTTAGTTTAAACTTGTTTAGATTGGGGCAAGTAGACAGGGATGGCTTTATTCTTTAAAGTTATGCTTAATTTTCTCAATGAAGTACCATGTATTATACGAACAAATATCAAAACACATACTATACTCATCATTTATAAAGAAAGGCCAGCCTCCTGGGTTTTCTACAAATTTTCAACCACCTCGTTATGCAACACCTCTGATTCCTCTTTCTTTTCAATGATATCTTTGTGAATAGATATTCTACACAAAGAGCTAAGCCGACCTTGACCCATTCTATTTCTTAAATAGCTTTTACCCTTTTAAGCAAGAAAACGACCTCTCTACTGAAGCACTTGCCACTGCCAACACACCATTTTAACAAATTTACCACTTGACCTAAACTCGACTGGAGATTAAATTTGAAGATGTATGTAAGAACCTCATTACTGCACTCTTTGTGAAAGTCCTTGTCGTTGTAAATGAAGGAAAGTTGACTCTCAAAGTTTGGATGTCAAAAGAGGACTATACTTATCTTTGAGAAGATTGATCTTCTCCTGTGGAACTATGCCCTTCCATGTAGTAAATAGTTTAGGATTTACAAGGTCTAAAAACTCGAACTGATTAATATCTTGAAATCGTTCACTTAGCATGCCTTTAAGGGAATATATAATCTCAAAATAAAGCTGTTTGTAATTGTATCTACTATCTGCTCTGGTTGCTGGTGGGCCTACTTTTTCTAGTGCAGTTTGGTAAAACTCAGTGAAAGCTTGATCTGTGCGAAGTGACACAATAAACTGCTTGAAATTGTCAATCTTGCTTATGCCATAGTTAAAATGGGTTTCCCTATTTTGAAGAATGGAATACAAAATTGTGGACTGTTCTAAAATCCTGTAAAAAACACACACTAGAAAACAAAAGAGAAAGCTATCAAGATAATGCAGTAAGCCACTTATTTTACTTAATGACTCATCATCCCACCCAGCTGGTTGTTCAAGTACCCCCTCAAAAATATCTAAAAGTTTTTCATAGTTTTGTGCAATACATTGATTAATCTAGAGCGATAATACCATCTTGTTTCACCAGGGCAGGAAACTCAAGGTTGTTAGATGTGAGAAAAGCTTTTCTTTTGGGGCATTGCTTGTAAATGTGCTGAATGTAGCTATATTAATAAAAAGATTTTAACAGGAGAAATTGATGAGGCTGACTGGCATAGGACCAGGTTCAATCTATGAGCTGCACAATGAACAAAATGAGCAAAAGGATACTCTTGTCGAACCAATGCTTGAACACCATTGATATGGCCAGACATGACAGAAGCACCATCATATGTTTGTAAAACCAGTTTTCTTTTATATTAGAATACTCACCAAGTTTATCTTTGACAACTTGTGATATTGCTGTGGCATTTCTGTTCATACTTACATCCACAAATCCTAATTGCCTCTCCATAATTTCACTTGCTTTGTCAAACCGAGCAATAACACTTAGCTGCTCTTTGGTGGAGACATCAGATGCTTCATCAACCTGAATACTCATAAATGTGCAATCATTTATTTCCTTTCTGATTTCATCTTCAATAATTGAATCAAGACAGCTGATAAGACCATTTTGAATTTCTGGGAGACTCCAGTAAATCTTCTGTCACCAACTATATCAGATTCTGCTAGTCTACTGTGCAGTCGACGCTCAAATACAGAATCAAACTTAGCAAAACATTCGAGCAACTCTCTATAATTACCTTTGTTCAAGCTACCTTCGGACTCATTGTGACCTCTAAATGGCAACTCTTGCTTTGACAAATACAGCACGGCCTCAGTAACAGTTTTAAAATTTCTCGATTTTGTCTTACCTCCTCATTGTGACGCTGAATCTCATTTCTTCTAGCGAGGGACATAAGACAATCAATTCGTTCACTAGCTCCATACGTTTTCCATGTCTTAAATGCAGTCAAATGCGATTTAGATTTTCATGCTTCTTAGCATCAGACATAATACTCCGCATATCGTTGTAGCCATTCTTAGTCCACGATGGCGATGTTTTTGGGGAAAACATTAGACATGGCCAACAAAACACTTTCTGCAAGGTTGTACTGCCACACAGCCAGTCCTTCGCCTCATACCAATCTCTCTGAAATGCTCTTCCTTATTTTGGATAGTTAAATCAGGAGTAGGCCGTTCATGAACGATAACATTCTGTTCGACCGACGATCGAGCAGAGAACGGTTTAGCTAATAAGCTATTTACTAAATCAACATCAGTTGAGCAAATCGCAGTCGACTTGAAGCCATTGTGTCATACACAAATACAAAATAGCAATTTGAGAGTAAACACAATGGAAAATTAATACCGACAATGACACGTAATTTGATAATCACTAATCGCTGTACTCGTATTAAAAGGTCGAATAATTACAACCTCCGCCAATTTAAAATAGCGGGAGTTCGACTATAAAAACAGCAGATTTGAGCATGCGTCAAGTCCCTTAGCCAACCAGAATTCAAAACTTCTTATATAGAATTATATTGTATGTTCCGCCCTCTGAAGATGGGCGGAATACGTGGAGAATCGCGCGAGTATGCAATGTGCGAGAAAGGCGGTTGCTAGGTTACATAACAAATCTTGAGATTTTGCTGTATTACGATTACGAACCACCTAATAAAAGCGTAAATATGAACGAATAAAACATAATATTACAAATTGTTCGTGAAATAATGTATATCTTATGTCCAAATAGAATATTTATTATTTTTTTGGGAAATTTCTACTCCCGCCGGGCGGGAGTAGCGGGACCGCTAGCTACGCCACTGACCATAACATACCACATTAGCCAAACTCGCGGAACGTTTAACTCGCACTATTCAAATCTTTTTGCGATGAGTTAAATAACTGATTTTGCTTAGAAACGCCTGCATATTCTTGAATTTAATATGTTGTTTCATACCAGTAATCTTCAGTTTTTAGTAAGTTTGTCATCTTAATTACTTTCATGTCGAGGCATGCTTTAGTGTTAGCATTTCGATGGGGCAAATTACAGCATTCTATTTAATGAGGATGTTATAGGAAGTCGATTTTCTTATGCTATATATCCAGTATCTTAGCTTACATTTTACTCGTGAAATAACTCTTGTCGAAATTCGTACACTCGCTCGGTTCATACTTCATACTGTTTTACTTGATGGGAAATTTTCAATTTTGCTTGACTCAGTTGACTGAACATTAATAGCTAATAACATTTAATCAAAGAAAGCAACAAAACCCTTCGGTTTATAAATTTATTTTAGATGTCTTAATTGTTCAGTCGTTTTTTGTGTCATGATTAAGATCAAGTATTATTTCAATCGTTACACAACTATAAAGTAGTGAATCATTTTATATACTACAAATAAAGTTTGATTATATAATACAAACTTCAACATCTTAATTTTTGCAGCTTAAATACAACGTTGCAAAGTTCGGTCGCGAAATACAACAAAATGTACGACCGTTTATCATATTTTATGTAATGTCAGGTTGATTTCTTTTGAAAATGAAAGTATTTTGAAAAGAAATTAGCAAGGCATAGCAGAATAAATGTAGTGATATTTCCCCGCGGTTAACATAGGATTGACGCCAAAGTAACATATATGGCTTGAAAATATCGACCAAGACAGAGTAACGCAAAAATAGAACTTTCGTATATGAGTCTCTGCTCGCCGAGTGTAAAACGTTGTTGTTACAAGTTGCAA